CGTTGACACGATTATCGAATCTTCTGCGAATTTTCCGCGGCGAGTGATCGAGACACGCGAGCGGCGTAATCGAATTTTGCGCAGAGACCTTTCGCCGTCGGTAGTCGATTTCCCGATCATAAATCTGACGGACTGAAAATTGCTTCGGCAACGCTTCTAGGCACAGAGACGGAGAACCGATTTGTCCTACTGCGAGATCCCTCTGCCGACGAATAATCCAGAAATAAATTCTCATCCGATCCGTTCCCCCACACCCTCTTTCCTTCCTTTTTCCGCTCGCGCAACGCGAACCATCTCGAAAAAGAGAAATCTCAGTTAACGGCCCCGAGGCCTGTGGAAATGCTGCTTAAATGGTGTTTCCACGCACTTTCCCCGACGATGGAGAGGCGCCGGAGCTGCGCCGGGGCGAGGGTGCCGAATAAACGGCTACATAAAGTTCGGGATTGCCGTGCAACCGCCCTTGCACCATACGGAGGGTGGTCAGCTTGTTCGGACGCACATATGTGCACTTGCTCGAGCAACAACCCTCTTTCATCTCTTTGTGTCGGGATCCCTCTGAAAATCCCTTGCTTCTGAAAAGGAAAGAAATATTTCTTCGTTAAATCAGTCTCCCCCCTCGGTCAAATTGAGCCGATCGACTCTGCTTCTTCTTCGTTTCCCTTTCTCTCGCGAGCATATTTCTCAGAGACCGAGCGTGCGGGAATAGTTCGTTCATTTCATTGCAAGACTCGTGTTTTCTTTAGCGGTGGAGAATTGAGAAATGAAGCCAACTGGTTCGTTTTCTAAAATTCCTCGTCGTTCGATCACGCTGTGTCGAATGGTCGAAGCGATTCGAATCGAGAAAAGATTCCGCAAAAAGAAAAAGATAGAAAGAAAAAAAAAAAAAAAAAAGAAAGGGAAAGAACGATCGCGTATTGTCGATAAACGCGTAGAGCAGCTCGTTCGATTGGATGTCTGGTCGATGGAACTTGCCCTCGAGTTAATTTAACTTTCGCGATTCCGTGGCCCCGCTGTAACGCGCGTTCCTGTGAAACAGCCGGTAGAATGTGATGCACGTAGCACGGGCCACGAGAGCAGTGTACGTGCGCACGGTTGCAGGCAACCCCTGCAAGGGCGAGGGATGGTGGCCGGGAGAGCTCGATATATATTAAGATCCGCAAGCCCTCCGCTAGACTGAAAGTTCGTCCAACCCCCACGCGCGACCCCCTAAGTCTTCCCTTCCGACTCCCTTTACCCCGCTCGGCCGAAGCTACACCATCGGAATTGCGATTATGGTGGCAATATTACGGTTCACCGAGAGGGAGAGAGCAACCGTTTCGTTCCTAGAGCCACGTAGCCATGGAGCAAGGAAGGAACGAGCAGACTTCCAGCTCTCTCTCTCTCTCTCTCTCTCTTTCTCTCTCTTTCTCTCTATCGTGCTTCGTCTGTCCGCAAGATTCCTCCTTCCAACAACTCGCGCTACGAGTCGCTCACTCGCAGAGCTTATTGGCTTTATTTCGAAACCGGCAGTTCATATCTATTTACTGGCGCTGGCTGGCTGGCTGATCCACGAGGAAATAGAAAACGGCGAGAGACTCGACCGAGACTGGTCTACCTGCTGCGGGACCTGGGATGCCTGGGGTGTTCCCGACAAATCGATAGGCTTTAATGCCCATCGTTCGTGTAACGCGCGTTACACTTTATTGGCGACGAGTGAGTTTCATCGTTCCCCGGGTACAAGACCGCGGAATTCATCGAACCGACGAACAACAACGCGGAACGGAACGGGCTTCTTTTCCCCATTTCGTTGGTCGGATGAGATTTGTTCTCAGGTCGATGTTCCTTCTGGTATTCTTTCCATTTGCTCTTCGCCTCTAGTTCCTTTTTTCTTTTTTTTTTTTTTTTTTTTTAGAGAGAGGTTCGTCGAAAAGTAAGATCACGGTCGGGAAATTGGTTGTGCGTTCACGAAGATAAGANTCCTTTTTTCTTTTTTTTTTTTTTTTTCTCTTCATCGCTTTTATTTTTATTCATCGGTATTACGTTATAGTCAATCGAGAGATTCTTTGCCATCTCGTTCCCTTCTTCTCAGAATTAAACAGAAAGTTATACACTCTGGTGAAAATCGTTTACGATTTAAAATTGCTATTGATAATACCAGTGTAATGTAGAATTTTTGAATGGTTTCAAGTGGAGAAAGTACATCCGCAATGGTCCTCCTAAATCGTATTTTCACTTGCTCACGTATTTCAAACGACGATAGGATTCCGGACATAAAATATCCGTTGATAAATTGTCCGTTTAATAACAAATAAATAATTGAAATAATTAATTGTACCAGTCGGGTTGCGTTAAATCTAAAATATAATCTTCTGATGAACATCTTGTTCTATTCGCATCGAGAATTTATTGTTTCACACGAGGATGCCTGATTTTTCCATCGATATGTCGGTTCTTCATACCGAGGAGGGAGGAATTGGCGATCGGAAACCGAGAAGATGGACTCGGCGTTTACCATCAAGGGCGTCGACGACCATCGAGAACGACATAATTTCCCGAAGCGAATTAATAACCATCGATCGACATCGGTGGTGGTATTTTTTTCCGGTGGACGTAGACCGAGGGCTCCGGCGTAGAGCAAATATCGCGGCGCCATTACAACACGGGGCAATTATAACCGGCCAGCGGAAATATTTTTCGCCGTGTTCACCGCTGAATTCTCATTCGCCTCTTGATTAACCCCTCGTTGCCGATCATTCTTCCTCTCTCTCTTTCTTTCTTTCTTTCTTTTTTTTTTTTTTTAATCTCGATCGATTTGAAAGACAAGATTCTTGACGGCTGAATTGTTTCGTTCGATCTCGGCTAATTGAGAAGCGCTGCGCGAGATCCGACAAATTCTCTGTTTCACCCGATAAAGAGGCGAAGTTGCCCGTTAGCGCTAATCTCGCATGCGGCACGCTAACGTGCCCGAGCCGCGAAACACGTTAATTGGCGTAATTAATTTCATTTAAAATCTCGCCGCCGCCGCTCCAGAAAGAGATTAAACAAGTAGCTTGGACATTGATATACCATATTCGGTTTCCCTCTCTCGTACTTCTTTCTGCTCCATTTTCTTTTCTCTTTCCTTTTGTGTGTGTATGTGTGTGTGCTTTTACTGTAGTTCCCGTGGCGGTGAATAATTTCAGATGAGAATCGCGCGGCCGTCGTCGGGAAATTCAGCTCGCCGAAAAATCGACGCGGTTCGCGCGGCGTGTTTAAAAAAGAGGACGTCTCTGCGGGACCCAATTAAATTCCGCGGGCGTTAACGACGCGCGTACTTTGTCTTTTTTTCGGTTCGCGGCTGCCTCCGGCGAGCCTTTCGTCTCTGGACGAAAGAACCGAGTGAAAGCGATTGCGGAGAAAGAAGAGGCACGAAGAAAAGGAATGAAGAGAAATAGACAGACAGACAGAGAGAAAGAGAGTTAGAGAGAGAATGATATGGGTGGGGGTGGAATTTATTGTGCTAACGCAGTTTCCCAGACGCCAAAAGCTGCCGCGTAGACGTCGAAATAACATCTCTACGACTTTTCTTCATTCCTCTAATAGTCTCTAGCGCCCGTGCGATATTACCTGACGCCTTCTGCCTCTTATGATTCTCCACCCCCTTCCTCTCCTCCTCCACGAATATAGCGGTCGAATTCCGAGCAAAGCCGTTTCATTTCGTAAAGTAATTGCGATCCTCTCCGAGCCACGTTCGTTAACGAAGTATCGACGTGATTTTTCCGATCGCAGCGCACACGGTCGACGAGAGAAAAGAAAGAGTCAAGACTCTTCGTCTCGTTTATCCACCGAAACGAAATCGTTCCTTCTCTCTTTTTCCCTCTCGTCTCCGTAATAATCTCTTTGTACTACTGAGTAACCGTACGGCTGAATTTATTGCGGCCTCCCTGCCGGAAACACGTCCGCAAGAAAATCCTCTCCGAGTAAGAAGCCTGATCTTCTCTCGATCTACCCGTTTTTTCGCCCGTTCTTACCTACGTAGCCTTTCCTCCCGTAACCGGGAGAGCGAGTATCGAACGAGAGAAAGAGAGAAAGAGAGAGAGAGAGAGAGAGAGAGAACCGTCGCATCGTCGTCTGTCGACGAGGAGATGGTGGACGATGACGACTACGAGGACGACGATGGCGACGACGACGGGCCCCTCCTTCTTGCCCGGGTCGGAACTTTTTGCGGTCTCTCTCGGGACGAGCCCGAGTCGCAAGGGGGGCAATAAAACTAATGGTAACGCGCGCCGGTAATTCCTTGCGGTCTGTTTGTCGCAAATCGACGACCTGGCCACTCCGCCTCGTCATTTGCCGCGGGAGGATACCCGCGTTCGAACGTCGACGGACAAGTGGTTCCTCGAGCTCGGACATGCACACGGGCCATCGCGTGAGCCTCTCTCCCCTCTCCCCTCTCGCTCTTTCGCTCTTTTTCGCTGATCGCTGTCCACCCGATCCAACCGATAGAGATCGACGAACAGCGTCTCTATCCGATTCTCCCCTCTTTATCAAGGGGATAAATCTGTCCAGCGACGTGGACACGCGGGTAACTGGAGCTCCTCGACTCCAGGATTCTTCGCTGACTTCCGTAATCCGTCTTCGTTGTTTCTGTAAATATCTTCAAACCAGGAAGGTTGGAATCAATAGAGAGAGAGAGAGAGAGAGAGATGTGTGGAAGAACTGCTGTCAGGGAAGATAGTTGCGACTTGGGGGTTTCCCAGGGCAAAGCTGATTTCGTAGATGCTGACTCGGTGAAATCTCGCGTAATCCGTACGCAAACAGCCAAAGTCTCTCCTCTCCAGAGAGGGTTCCCTTGAAAAGGGGATCGAAGCTGGCGTCTCGCGTTATTTAAACAACGTTTATCTTATCGAAGTTAATTCGGGCGAGCGCGTGGGTCAAACGCCCGGACGAACGAAAAGACCCGGCGCGGCCAAACGTTGTTTTCGCGGTTAATCGGCGGATTGTCAGCAAAATTAACATCGTCCTGTGGTCTCGTTTGATTACAGTGGGTGGAAGAGTCGTTCACCAACTTCGACAAGGGCATCAATTGGCGGAGTTACGTCGTCTGCGACGTGGCGTACAACAACGTGAACAATTGGCTATGGACGCCGTTCATCGAGAGGGGACCGGCGAACCGCATGTACATAGAAATCCAATTCACCACTCGCGACTGCTCCCTGTTCCCCGGGAACGCGCTCAGTTGCAAGGAAACTTTCAGTCTACTTTACTACGAGTTCGACGTGGCTACCAAGGAGCCGCCGCCATGGGAGACGGATAGTTACAAGTTGATCGGTAAGCTTCGCCAAAGCGTTACAGTTACAGTTGAAACTGCGAAAAAAATGGCAAAAATCGGAGAAACATGCATTTAACTGATTATTTGTTTCAAACGAATCTAAAATTCGAACTTACTTAAGTATGCAATTAACCTCTTGCGCTGGAATGACGTGCCATCAATTTTTTGTCCCAATATTTTGCAATACTTTCCCAATTTTAAGTATATATAACCTAGGCAATACAAGTGGCATGTTTATTACTTCTTAATCATTTCTATTCAGTGATATACCGACGAGGTCAAAAAGAAAGCGACGAATTATTGTATACGGTTCGGTCACTCGTTATGGTCCGCAAACCAGTTGCCAGCGCAAGAGATTAAAAAGCTCAAGATCGCTCAAGTCTTCTTTGCTACTAATTACATGCTTGTGTAGCTTATGATCCTGAAGATCAAAAGTCTTTACTACCACAGTTGGATAGAGCCATCTCGCAATTCATTCTCCAGCGTTCTAGTTATTTATCTTCGTCGCCAACTCGTTCGTTGTCGTTGTCGAATTCGCGTGACAAGCCAGGTGACTGTTTGACCAACAGGACGCATCGCCGCGGGCGAGGGAAGGTTCAACACTAATACCGGGGTGGTGATAAACACGGAGGTGAAGTCGATCCCGGTGACGAAGAAGGGCGTGTACTTCGCGTTCCGCGATCAAGGTGCTTGCATCTCCATCCTGGCCATCAAAGTTTACTACATCAGCTGTCCGGAGATTTCCGTGAACTTCGCGCACTTCCCGGCGACGCCGACGGGTCGCGAAGTGGCGCTCATCGAGCAAACGATCGGCACTTGCGTGGATAACGCGGTGGTCATCGAGCAGCCCACCTTCCTCTGCAAGGGAGATGGCAAGTGGTATCTCCCCAACGGTGGATGCCACTGCAAACCTGGCTATCAGGCCGACGTTGAGAAACAGGCGTGCACCGAGTGCGCGATCGGCAAATTCAAACACGAGGCTGGATCTCACAGTTGCGAGGTCTGTCCGGCTCATAGCAAGTCGTCCGATTATGGATTCACGGAATGTCGGTGCAACGCCGGTTATTACAGGGCCGAGAAGGACCCGAAGAAAATGCCTTGCACACGTGAGTCTTTTCTTATTTGTAAGACAGCATAAGAAGAGCAGAGAATTAAAAGCAGAGAAAAATCTGTTGAAATTTAGGTTAAAGCTATAGTTAAAATATAGCTATAGTTTAGGATGAAAGGATTGAAAATCCCCTTAAATATATGTTGTACGTCACATTTAACTGTTTTGCGTGTTTATAGAGCCACCGTCGGCACCACAAAACTTGACGGTGAACTTCGTCGATCAATCAACTGTGATTCTGTCCTGGAATGCGCCACACATGCTCGGTGGCAGGACTGACACGACCTACAGGGTGGTCTGCGATGCCTGTAGCATGGGCGTCAAATACATTCCCAACACCGTAAGCATTTTCTCTCCCCCCTTTTCCTCGTGGCTTTGTCTTTGGCGCAAGCTACGAAAATTCTGATTCAACTCTGATCTCTGTCGAGCAGGAAGTTTTCAACGACACGAAGATCACGATAACGGGTCTTAACGCGGTGACCACGTATCGATTTCAAGTGTTTGCCGAGAACGGTGTATCGGCGTTGGCTGGAAAGTCGGAATACGTGGACATCACCGTCACCACAGAAGCTAGCGTACCTAGTTTGGTGAGCAACGTCAGGATTACAAGCGTGAAGAGCTCGGAACTGAGCATCAGTTGGGACGCTCCAATAACCGAAGTTGGTGGAGACAGCGATCTGGTTGAAAGATATGAAGGTAACGTTGCTGTTTCATCTCTGGATTTTTCACGAATGTCCAAATAGATTCTATTTAACTCAATTTAAGTATGTAGTAAAAGATAATTAAACGAGAAATTGGAAAAAAAGATTCAATGCTTCTAAAGCTCAAATTTGAATACAATGTATTCACGTGCTATATGCATTTTAATTTTGTTTTGTTAATTTTTTTCAAATCTTTCGACTGTTTTAAATAGTCGACTTGATAGCTTCTTGCTTCTTTTCACTCGCAACTGTATATTCCTGTAAAATCTTTTTCCATCAAATAATACAGCAAAGTACGAATCCATTCTTTTCTGAATATTTTATGCATCGCTCGCAGTATGTGTGTGTGTGAAGGTGGATTAAATACTCAAGAGATTAAATATTTTAGATATTTTATATATTTGTTCATACGACGTGCTTTCAAACTTCTGACAACTCGCACTCTACCTACAACTAATCTTAAACTTGCGTGATTTCGTTTCAGTGAGATGTTACCCACGTTACGACGACGCTACCAATGCCACAGTTATTCAAACCTCCGAGTTGTCCGCGACGTTCAAGGGTCTGAAACCATCGACGGACTACGCGATACAAGTACGAGCGAAAACTACGCGAGGTTGGGGCGAGTACACGCCTGTAGTTTATAAAAAGACGCCTCATGCCATGGGACTAGGTGATTATTCGAATTCGTTTGATCAATTATGCGCGAGTATAATCGAAATACAGCGCCTCGATAGAGCATTCGTTCGTTGTATTTTCTCAGATTACGTCGGAGAAGATGACAACATGCAAGTGAGGATCATAGCAGGAGCTATCGTAGCTGTGGTAGTTCTTCTGGTGATCATTATCATCATGACCGTACTGATTTTAAGAAGGTAAACGAATTGCTCTTGATATCGAATAGTGTTAATAAAATGTATAAAGTAAATACAATGAAATGTATACTTCCGAGTATTTACTTCATATTCTAGTGTTATTTGATTCTATTTATGTGATATGATTTCGATGCAGCAGGGCCTCGGACGAATGCAACAAGAAACAGCCGAGCGACTGCGACACGCTGGAGTACAGAAACGGCGAAGGTACGTTTGTCCGATGCCGATAGGCTTCCATTCTCTTTTCTTTATAAATTCATTATCGCTACAACCCCCTGTCACTTTTATAGTTGTTTCACTACGCCCTCGTGTCTTGTGACTAATATTTTTGGATCACCAAACCCCCCGTTAGATCCAGCAAGTATCGACCCCAGCCCCCCCCCCCCTTTTTCATGTATACAGTACCCCATGATTATGTCTTGTCGCTAAACATCCAATACTTTTAGAAGTATACTTCTCTCTATCTCTCTCTGACGAAAGAAAGATTACTGAAAAGTGGTTTCGTTTAAAGAAAAGAAAAGAAAAAAAAAAAAGAAAAAGAAAAGAAAAGAATATGCGAAGAGAAAATTATCGAAGTCCGAGAACGGCTTCAGGCCAGCAAGTTAAAATGAAAAAGAAAAAAAGAATGAGAGACGATCGTTTTCGAGGAAAATTCATACCGATCTGGCCCGCAATCTACGTACCATTATTCTAACAAAATTCTTTCGATTCTTTCTTTTCATGTGCGATTCCCCTAATCTATCGAACCTGCCTCCATGAAAAATCCATGAAAAAATCCAATGAAACAATGTACACAATCGCCTGCTACTACAGGACTAGTTGTGACCTACAGTAAGTCTTCTCCAACACCTCAAGTTTTTTTTCTAGGAACTCTCGGTTTTGCGTAGTTACTTTTTGCACCCCCTTTTGTACGCGCATCTCTTTCATGCGTTCCGAGGTTTTTTTTTTTTCTTACGCACGGGCACGCACGCTCTTCCTACTCGCGGTATCTCTGGTCCAATAGACACGAACGCGATACACGAGCTTTCACGTATACCAAGTATCGTACGAGAGACGTGCGTGTACGTGCTTTTCGTGCTTGCGTCATAAAGTGTGCATCTACAGTTCTGCATGCGTACGTTGTTAGTGTGTTATCGTTGGCACTGCACTTGTTTCATTTGCGGTATGTTGTTTTATATATTTTTCCTCTTCTTTTTTCATTTTTTCAAAATTTTCTTTTTTTAAGTTACGCCCGAAAACTGAACGAGCCGAAGACAAAGCGAATGAAACGCGGTTTTTTTTTCAAAGATTCTCTCTCAAGTCGTTGCATCAGTTCGCTTCGCGTCATTAAAAACTCTGTTCATCGCAACACCTTCCGCTTCTTTTTTGTTTGCTGTTTGTCAATCAGTGTGTTGGTTGTTGTGTTGTTCACAGTGCACTGCAAAATGGACAGTTCACCGATTGTGACAACCCACACCAACGACAAGAGCAAGTCCTCGCGTAAGTCCGAATATAAAAATTTGGCTGAAATCGTTTGAAATCGGGGAGGATACGCGAACGATACTCTGGACGCATAAAATAATCTTTCGAAACATCTCACGCTCGATCAAACCGACACACGACACACACATATGTACATTGCCCTTTTCTTTATTTTCGCTCCGGAAACTCTTTCCTTTCTATCTCTGTTCTTATTTTTCTATTCTTCGTTCTGTCTTCCCCTAAATTTGTTTTCTCTTGGTCGTTCCCAAAAAAATTCGAAAACGTAGGTGAGACGCACGAAACGAAAGCATGAAATTCCTTTGTTCTCTTATTGAACGTTGCCGAAATCTGCATCGTGTTCTTTCTCGTATCTCTTTGTATGGTTCCATTTTTTCAGCCAGTCACCAATGACCTCTTTCCAATCGTCTGCGTAACGCTCTGTGCGCCGGCGTGCGGGAAATATACCGGGATGTTTCGGTGGAACTCGAATTAATTTGGCTCATTCGGAGTGTAGCGAGCGGTCGCAGATGCATTCGCGGATGTAAATTAACAGGCGACGAAGTAATTCGATTCGACCGGAGCATCCTCTGCCGCTCCGTACTACGACTAACGTCATTCAATCTGATGCATCGTAATTGAAATCATTTGGCGTATATTAGGCATGCGAGAATTTCTACGCTAGCATGAAAGTTAGTTAGAGCGCGACTTTTCTTCTTTGTTCCTCTTTTTTTTTTCTTTTTTTTTTTTTTTTTCTTTATTTACGTTTTAGATCTCTTTTGTGATTACATAGTGGTACAACTAGCAAGTCAGTTTTCGTTTACTCCTTTTCTTTGTTAGCGAAAGCAAATCGTCTTTTTTTTACTTATCAGAGATATCGCGACAGAGAAACGAAGAGAAAAAGTATTTCTCACGCGAATGGAAAATTTTATCAAGCATCGTGATTATTCGAAGACGAGGAAAATGAAATTCAACGGGTTTAGCTTTCTTGCGTTCCTTTTTTTCCAATTTTCTCTCTTTTTTTTTTGAATATGCCAAATTTTGTTTAAAAAAAAGAGGAAGGGTGTGTGAGTGTTTTCACGGGATGATACGGTTGACAGTCACGGAGCGAACGGTTGTTACAGTCTCGCGCTCCGAGATTCCGTCAAAATTTAACACACCGGCCCTCGTGTTAATATAATGAACTCTGTTTTGGTGACGTTGCAGTGACCACGCCGCTGTTCACACCTGCAGTGGGAGTTGCCGCCGCGAGTGCAGGAGGTGCTGGTGGCGGTGGCGCGAGGAGTTACGTTGATCCTCACACTTACGAGGATCCGAATCAAGCCGTACGAGAATTCGCTCGTGAAATCGACGCTGGATACATTACGATAGAAGCTATCATAGGTACAGATACTCCTCACGTTCTCTCAAACGTTTGTACAGTGGCTCCCACCCTCGTTCCATATACGAAAGTGTCTCTTTAACAGGTTCTACATTTCATTTTCGTGGTCAAATTTCAAATTATCGTAGTCACACGAAAGTACTGCCAAATAATAAAGAAGTAGCTACTGTATCTCGACGAACGAGCCAATCCATCTTCGATTTTTTCTCTTTAACAAATCTCTCTCTCTCTCTCTCTCTCTCTCTCACACACACGTTTCTCGTTAACACGCCAGGTGGTGGAGAATTCGGCGACGTTTGCCGTGGAAAGTTAAAACTACCCCCCGACGGTCGAACGGAGATCGACGTGGCGATCAAGACTCTGAAACCAGGCTCCGCGGACAAAGCACGCAACGACTTTCTTACTGAAGCCTCGATCATGGGTCAGTTCGAGCATCCGAACGTGATATTCCTGCAAGGTGTCGTGACCAAGAGCAATCCAGTGATGATCATCACGGAGTTCATGGAGAACGGCAGCCTGGATACTTTCCTGCGTGCCAACGACGGCAAGTTTCAGGTGCTGCAGCTGGTGGGCATGCTTCGCGGTATCGCGAGCGGCATGCAGTATCTCGCCGAGATGAACTACGTACATCGAGATCTTGCGGCGAGGAACGTGCTCGTGAACGCCGCGCTCGTCTGCAAGATCGCCGACTTCGGGCTTAGCAGAGAGATCGAAAGCGCCACCGAAGGGGCGTACACGACCAGGGTAAGTAGCCAACTCGCAGGGAACGACTGCTCGTTGTAGTGGGACTTTGTTTATCCAAGCTGTTTGTTGAAACGGAAAGTGTTGCTTAATCCGAACAAGCATTAAAATCTGAGATACGTTTAAGATAAACAGAGTTCCATCATATCGACGCGTTACTCCTTTCTTTCTTTTTTTCCTACCTTTTCTTTTTTTCTTTTGACGAGACACGGTTCTCGTCGCTCGAACCGAGACTTTCAAATATCGAATCTTGAAAGACTGTTTACTCCGGCAAAAAGGGTGGAAAGATCCCGGTACGGTGGACAGCTCCGGAAGCGATAGCGTTCCGAAAGTTCACCAGCGCTTCCGACGTATGGAGCATGGGCATCGTTTGTTGGGAGGTGATGTCCTACGGCGAGAGGCCGTATTGGAACTGGTCTAATCAGGATGTGATAAAGTCGATTGAGAAAGGATACAGGCTTCCAGCGCCGATGGACTGCCCTGAGGCTATCTATCAGCTGATGCTCGATTGCTGGCAGAAGGAACGGACTCATCGTCCGACCTTCGCCAATCTTACGCAGACGTTGGACAAGTTGATACGAAGCCCGGACACGCTGAGGAAAATCGCGCAGAACAGGTAAACATTTTTCACATCTACTTCCTCTCGACGTGGAAATTTCTCCGCGGCTCGCGTACACGTCGCGTTACTGGCGCGCTAATTTACCCGCGTGTTCGATCAACATCGAGATTACTTATTCGCAGGAAAGGAAGTAAACCGAGTAAAAGCTTTTGTACTTTTGTGTTACTCGGATGTTAACGTAGTACGAAACAGTGCAAAACCTATCGTGTCGTTGCTTTCATCGTACGAACAATTCGGTAGGCTCCGTGAAGCGTGATTAATCGAGTTAAACGCGATACACTGATATTCCTTGGGAACGCGTTTAAATGTCAGGGGAGCCTGCATCACCGAATTGTTCCATCATCATCTCTTAACACGAATCATGCCGCATGCCATGCGAATCACACTTCGTGTCCATAAATTAATTTCTCTCGACAGCCAAAGGTATTTTCCGTTCTTTCGCTGAATACTGTAAGAAGCTCACAGTATGCTCTGCGCTCTTCACGTACGCTGTTTAGACTGGGCTTTGATGTTGTTGCTCATGTTCGTAATAGGATGTATACCGCCTAACCGATGAATATTGGCCGTCCAAGGAATAATCACGATGTGTGTGTGTCTACACTCCCGACAGAGAGATTCGTGTGCACGTGTGTATTCGAGGGCGCCGTTCGTTCCTCGACCTGATTGGCATTACTGGAAGCGGGCATATAGCATAATACTGGACTGATCTTTTTTTCGCATCTTTTAGTTCGTGACTTTGGACATTTTTTTCTTTTTTTTTTTTTTTCTTTCGAAGCTTCACGTTATTCATTACGTTTCTCTCATATTTCTCTCGTAGCTATTTTTTTGTTTTGTTTTCTTTTTTGTTTTTTTTTTTTTTTTATTTTTCTTTCACTTTCGTTCACATTTCCCGTAGCTGGAAGTCGTCAAAATTGACTTTTGTACAACAGCGCCTTCGCTTCCTCGCATTCTCGCGTTCTCTTTGAAATTCAACGACGCTAAGTTAAAAAGCAGAGAAACACCGAGAAACGACGGGGAAACTTCGGGAGAAAACGAGACACGCGGCAGACAAGAAGATTTCTGTTGGATTTTGCTTGTTTGTGGCACATATTTTCGATGAATCTTGTAACAAGTTTATCTCGTCTAATCTGAACGTCCGTATCGCGACACGATGATAATAATAATAATAATAATAATAATAACAAGCGGCTTTTCGCACGTAATTCTGCTCTCATTGTCAGTTTGAAAAAACGGCTTAATTTCTCTTTGGAACGTGCAAAAAGATCTGCCATCATCGTCATCATCCTGCCTTCCGTTTCTGTTTCCGCGGTTACTTGCTGGAAGGAAAAATTAATTTATGGACGAAAGTCTCTGGCGCGATTATTCTCGCGGGATAATTTTTTCGTTCGCGTTTTCAAGAGAACGGCGAAAAGTGCGCATCTCGTACTACGGTGGCTTTTCAGAGAGCTTTTATCGCTTTAGCGCTTATCGTTTCTGTAATCCTGGAGCCTTTAAACCCTCGTCCACCCCCTTACCTCCACTTATTTCCACCGCGAAACACAAGAGAGAGAGAGAGAGAGAGAGAGAGAAAGAAAGAAAGAAAAGGCGAACAAAGGCGAGATCAAACGATACTCGAGAGTCGAACGTCTCGGTTCCACTTTATCGTTGGACGATCGTTAATGAGAAGAATACGAACAAGACGTCTCCGCGATGAGACGTCTCGCGGAGCAACAGACACGGTGAAAGAAAACTGTCAAAACTTTTCTCTCGATCGAAAGAAGGGAAGAACGTCGTAGAAAAGAGAAAAGCATTTGATGTGTCGTGGAGACGATTTGGAGACGAATCGATTATCATTAATCTCGCTATTTCGTCGTTAGAACGTCTCAACAAGAACGAAACAGAACGAATCGTCGCCTCGCCTTGACTTTGGACCCACCGACCGTCGAGATTCTATTTTGTTCTTTTTTTAGTTAGAATGTCTTAAACCGATGAAAATTGAACTATTCTTTTTTTTTTTTTTTTTTTCTTTTTCATTCAATTTGAAACAAATTACACGGTATTTGGAGATTCGTGTTCGCCGATTCTCTAAAAATCGCAAAGGTTCAGAACACGGGACACTTAGAAATCGTAGAATTTAATTTCGTTTCGTGTTGATACTCCGAATATTCGAAATTCAGATTAAACAATCGGAAATCAAGCGAGCAAACTTAGCTCTAAATTTTTATAGCGATTATTCCGTCCGATAGTTGAGAATTAAAGAAACGAAAGTGCATCTGAACGGAGACATTTTTCGACTAAGAAAGACATAAGAAATTCATCTCGACGTCGATCTTTGCCCCTCCTACTCCTCCACCTCCTCCTCCTCCTCCTCGACCCGAGAAAATTTCAGTTTCTCTTTTGCTGACGACATCCCTTTTTTTCTGGGCTAATTCTTTGTGGTTTTGGTTTTGTGGTGTCTTTGGTACCCGACTACGAACTGCCACCCAACGCAACTGCGACAACTACCATCTACCACCAACTACAACTCAACAACTACAACAACAGCGTGAGGCCACCTGCACACAATCCGTACTATGTCACAAGCCACGCGGCTGCCGCACAGGCCGCGGCAGCGGCCGCTGCGATTCCAGCCGCGACAACGGGTCCGTTCGTAGACGTAGTCGGCCATCAGGCCCATCAAGCCCAGTCGACGATTGCCGTTCCAGTAATGCCACCAGGAGCCGGCCGTAGCTTACACTACCACACACACGCAGCGACACACGCATTGCCACAACAGCCACCGCTTACCTATCCCAACTGGGTCCCATTCACACACTTCGGTTAAGAATTAGACTTATCGCACAGTCAGTTCACGACTCGCGATCATTTTTTTCTGTTTTCTTCTGTTTTTTTTTTTTTTTTTTTTTTTTTTTTTTTTTTTTCGATCCAAGAGACCAAGTGTCTTCCTGCTGCAGTGCTCGTCAGTTTCACGAGGGAACGTCCAGAGACGTTTGGGATATCGTTCGCGAAATTGTGGATTTTATCCAATGCCGATAGATGAGAACGTTTAATTAATTATTAACGATCGGTAGATTTATTGTTATAGCTTTAGTGACTTAACCGTACCGATATTCGCATTTAGCGGTGAAATTTATTCCTTTTATTTTTCTGCTTTTTTTTTCTTTTTGACTGAAAATTTTTTTTGCACGTAACTTTATTACGATTATTAGTATTTATTTCTGAAGAATCTAAGAAACTCTTCTTTTGTGTTTCTAATCTGTGCCACTTTGTCACTGTAAAAGGGTTAATAACGACGAACAAAGACTTTTGTGTCTTCAGTCTTTTCCTCGTTACTATTTTCGTCCGAGGTCGGAGCTACACGGATTTCGTCCAAGGCGAAACAGGATTCGTATGATAAAAAAAAAAAAAAAAAAAAAACAGAAAAGAAAAGAAGAAAGAAGAAAGAAATTGAGAAAGAGTCGGATCTCTTTTTTTCTCTTCATCTCTTTCGGTCTGTTTGTACAACATCTCTGTGCAAACAGAGATTGAACTTCTGTATACGTTTCGCAGTTTGTCGACGACAACTGGATTAACTGGTTGGTCTTTTTTCTCGTCCGTCGACGTTCGCCAAAAGAGACGCTCGTGCAGTTTTGGCCCGACGTTGAACGATGTACCAGGAATACTCTCCTTAATGTGAAGAAGCGTAATCGCAGATAGGCACCGTTCTCGCGCGTTTCTCTTAGAGAACCGCGCTCTCGTTAAAAATGAAAGTTTAGGTTGTCAATTCTGTTACGAGGCGTATGTAGCAATTTATCGTACAGTAGAAGGAAATTAGTCGTTGTAGAAGAAAGATTTTTCACGGTTTTCGAATTATATACAAGATTCATTATTGAAAGCAAACGAGTTTATATATATATATATATAAAAATATACATACATATATATATATGTATGTATGTATGTATGCATGTATGTATGTATGTATGTATGTATGTATATACTTATTTAAAGAGCAAAGTGTTTTTTATCATGATGTTCAAGCAAAGCGCCAGGCGCGGTAAATTTTATCGATCTTAGCTGCCATCGTAGAAGTCACATAGAGAATATTTATGGTTCTAGTTAGAGGGATTTAAATGGGAAATTTTATGAGAGTACATATATATACATACATATATATATATATATATGTGTACCCCCGCAGTTTTTTCTCGTAGAGCTAATGAGAATTTATTAGAGGACGAATCGAACCAACGAATAGCAATATAGAGTGGACTTAAGCGAGAAGGCTTAAGGACGAAGGCAAGAGGGTTTTTTTAAACTGCGAGCCGCGTTGTCATAGTCTTTCAGATGTTTTTTCTAATTCTTGATATACGTAATGTATATATATATATATATCTCACACACGAGTATACGTAAACATATATTATGAAGAAGCGGATATATATATATATATATAGTATTTATTAACGTCACGACTTTTACCGTAACAAAAAATTAAAAAAAAAAAAAAAAAAAAAAAAAAAAGAAGGAAACTGCAAAGACTTATTAGCATTTAAATCGTGCGAGCTACCATTCGACCAGATTAGAATAGTATTTTTCTACTTGAAAACTCGAGAAAAATCAGGAAAACCGTACACGATATATCCCGGGCTGTTTTCACGCCGAGGGAGAATCGATTCTTCGCGAACGCGCTACGCGTGTCGCGCCTTCATTATATAGCGAAAAAATTTCGGGGAAAACGAGAAACGAAGAAAAGGAGTCGGTCATAGAGCGGAACGCGTCGCGACACACCATTACAGGAAAAATGATGGAACGATAGATAGAAAGAAAGATGGCCTAGGGTTTGCGGCGTTCTTTCCAACAAGGTGAATAGAAAATCTCGAACGATTTTTCTCCTCCTCGAATCGATTCGACCGGCGTCGAGAGACGACGAGAAATCATAAACGGACAATCAATCAGCTTAGACGCATTACGCCCGCGGAAACCGAATCGATGCGCGCTAATTACCTTAGAGTTTACGCTGACAATCGCGATAAATTGAGCTTCGCACAAGCACGTGACCATACACTTGCACAAACGTACACATCACTACTTCGGTATATGAAAGTGAGAGAGAGAGGGAGAGAGAGAGAGAGAGAGAAATCAGAGTGAAACTGAATGCGACGTACTTGAACATACACATATACAAGCACACACGCGACACACATACACACATACACACACCAAAGTGTGTGACCTCCATCGCACTAACAAATGCTAACAATTGTCAGAATCAGGGAAAGGGGTGCTCCACCCCCACCCCCACCCGCCTCGTCGACATCCTCCAACGTGCATTTGAGAAAAAGGTAAAAAATCAAGAACAGCTTTCAGTCGACCAAAAAGTAAAAGAAAAAAAAATAAATAAAGAAAGTACGGAGCGAGCGAGGAGCAATAAGGCAAGAAAAAAAAGATCAATCATGTATCGAGATGCTCTTTAATCAGAGATTGTTCTCGTACATGTACATGTGCAAGAATCGCAAAAATATCCCTACTATCCCAATCGCGTTATAATTTCTGGCTTTTTTTTTGTCAACGATGTTGATCAATGTTTTGAAACCTGTATTATGAATCGTTCGATTCGTTGACAATTGAGGGAGGTACGAGCGGTACAAACACTTCTGCGATTCACTGTATACGCGTGCGTGTGCGTTCGATTCCGTTGCCTTCTTGCTCCATTTGCTTCGTTCAAATCACCACCGAGTACTGCTGCCACGTAGACAGCATTTGCTCTGCTTGTATCCTATTAGTTGGTATCGCACTGCTTGCTTTCATACGCACCATTATCCATTCACGTTCTAACGTAACACCGATCCAGCTGATCTCTCAAACTTTGTGCATATCATCAACGTAATCACACCGTCATAGTAACTCTCATTACCGTCATTAGCAACTCTCACTGTCATTTCACCATCGATCACCAAACCAATCGCTAGCAACGGTTCCACGAACTCCAGGCTCGAGTTTTCCACGATCTCGCCACGCGTGATACTCGTGATCTAATCGACTTTTCCACACGTGCGAGCAAAAGTTTCGCATTTCAAGGTGGCTACGTACAATCTGTACGATGTGAAGTATCAGGGCCTGTTCAGGCGCGATCGTGAAAAATTATCGAGCCTCGATCGGAAAAATGTACATAAAAGATATTTTACCGAACCCTCTTCTATAAGATCTGTTTTTATACCGTATTTACCCGTAAATCCGCTCGTAAAAAGTCTATTAAGTAAATAACCACCATAATGGAATTACTTCTCCTAGAAATGAATAGTAGAACCTCTGATACTCGATTTCTGGATCACAATCTCCGACCCTAACCAGTCACCTATTTACTCCGAACTTTTGATATCGTGCTCGCAGAGTGTCTCTCGCCTCTGGATACGTATCGTAGACTCGGATTTCTTTGCGAAAATGTTAAACTTTTGGTTCGTAAGTACTTGACTTTCTGCGAGCACGAAAATCAAAATGTCTATGTATGTTTTTTGCTAACCGATGGATATTAGTGTACATATATTTGATATACATATATAGTTCCCATTTGTGTGAACAGATCTAGGGCCATGTATTTACGAGTGTGGCTGTTTCGATGATCGGTGTAAAAGCGCGATCGTCGAAACGGCTGACCCCTCCTTACTAGAAATATTTCAACAATAGAATCCGAGATGAACTTGAAATTGTTCTCTATACTTCGAACGTGGAAAAACGAAAGCGTTCCCTTAGAGTTTGGTTCACACCAGTTGAGTGATAAGTTGTTTCTTAATTTGTTAACTTCTTGTAGGAATAACTTTAAATTCTTTACATTTCTAATATTTGTTTCATTTCTGCGTGAATATTGAAATTGACCTGATTTTCTTGACAAATTTCTATTCCTCCGTCAGATATAAATTATCTTACTTTGTTTATTTATTTTCCAATTCCAAGATCACTAAAAGTTCCACGATTCTAATCTCAAGGTCATTAAAAATTCATAATTAAATCGTCCAGTTAATTGGAGCGCTTTCATTTTCCCACCCTGTCCTTAGAATCCAATCAACGACCTGTAGAAAAGCTCGAACGAATTTCAGGTCTTTGGTTCCCTGATATAGTGTTCACCCCCCGATGAATCCCTGCAACGTGTAACAAAAACGACACGATTCTAACACGAGATTTTCGACAGGGGCACCAATCCACTGGCGCCGGACGCGGTGGACTTGACGCAGCTGACCTCGGTCAGCGAGTGGCTGGCTTCCATCAAGATGTCACGGTACGCGGAGAGCTTCGAGAGGTCCGGAGTGACTACCTTGGAGGCGGCCGCGCGTGTCACCGTTCAAGAGCTGACGGCGCTCGGCGTCACGTTGGTCGGACACCAGAAGAAGATAATGAACAGCGTGACGGCGCTCAGAGCGCAGATGTCCGCTACCTCGCAAGGCTTTCTCGTTTAAACCGCGTTGACGTTCGCGACCGACGCAGCGACATTCGATAGAGAATCCCCATTGACCAGACGACGTTCGTCGTTCGTTCGAGAAGCTCTCGCGTGTCGATCGCCCTTTGAAACAGCTCCACCGAAGGCACCGACGATCCAAGCATCATCCTAGTCACAGGTCGATGGACTTGTTTTCTTCTTCGAAGGAAACGTGCCCTTGCCTCGCGGACGCCCAAGGCCACGGAGCAGCATCAGGACAAAAGAATCGAAAGACGCCGGAAGAGCTCCTCCGGCCAGTCTCGGATAGATCGACCGGCGACCGCATATCGCAGACATTCCAACGGAAGAAAACAAAGAATGAAACGGAACTCTCGGAAGACGACGAGAAATTCGTCGCAACGAAATTTCTGCGACTGCTCGTCGAAAACGAGTCTTCTTTGAGATACGACGAGTTTACGAACGAAAAAGTAAATCCTTGCGTAAACGCTCGCGTAATCGTTTACGAACGATCGAGGAAGCTCGCGACGGGATCAACGCGCAAACGTATACATATACACGCGACTCTGTGAGAACGAGAGTCAGCCATTGACTTTGTCTTTCTCTTCTTCCTAGAAAATCTTTCTCGCGCGAACTTGCGCCGAAAGGAACTCGAACTGCCACTGTATTAATCACTGCCGTATGAAATTCACGCGTGAAGCGAGAAGCAATCGCGTTAATCCTATCTTAAACCCCCCCGAGAAACATTTCGAAGCCTGGTTCACCGTGTCGAGACTGTTCTAACGCGCTCAATTGTTGCTCACACGTACACTACATTGCATACACGAGACAACCGTCTTGCCAGACGTTTACGTTTTCGCATACAGTCCAAAACGTTTACTGCATTCTACTGTCAACGAAGCCAACTCTATTGTTTTACAGTTGTTCCTAATCTATATCGCGCGACGGTATCCTTCGCGTCGAACGGTGATCGGGTCATTCAGCGATTGATGATCGATACTGTCAAGTGTCACCACGGTACAGACCAATTGCACGAACAAATAGACGGCCTAAAGTATTAACGACCCCTCCCCGAGCAGGTTGTCTCGTCGTTTCTTCCATCTACGCGAATGTTTCGGACAACGATTGATCGTGTAAAACCGTAACGACGATTCGAAAGGTCTAATATGTACGTTTTAAGATGCGACGAGCGTGGATCACGAGGGAGAAACGAGGAGATCAACGTGTTCTCACATTGCGAGCATCTAACGCCGCATCTTACGTCCTGTGCAGCGGATATTTTGTAGCTCTTATTAATAAAACTTAATCGATGTACAAATACACGACACACACCTCACACGACGCCCAGACACCAGTCACACACGCATGTAGATATTATACGAGTATCGAGAATTGTTGCCCACTCCGCTCCGCTTTTGCGAAACGATCGAAGGAGCAACAGTAAAGGCAAATAACGTGAGACTGAAAGAAAAAAAGAAAACGAAAAAAAGAGCAAGATCATTCAAAATTACTTGTAGATGTTTAAATAACGCGACGACAGAACGAAGATTAAAGGAATGATACGAGAGGATACGATTCTTGCCTTCGCGTTACCTATATAAAGTATAATGTTGTATACGCAATCTGGTATAGGTACTTGTCGATTAAAACAAATGGAAGAGAGAGCGAGAGCAGGAACATGTGCCAATAAAGGGAGAGAGAGAGAGAGAGAGTGTGCGTGAACGGGGGAAAATGTTCTGCGTGAAAGAAACAGCGCACGCTATCGCGCGTAGAAAAGAATGAGTCCCTATTATATACGTATTAAACGAGAGATAGATTATATTGTGCGTAACGCGAGACAGATTTGTCAGGAACGAATCGGATGGCCAACGAATGAACGTTTGAAGAATCGGAGGAAAGATAGCGAGGTGATCGGTGAAACGTGTCCCTCGACATCATGAACATATCAAGGAGCATTTGAAAAAAAAGAAAAGGGTAAGAAACGAGAGCGGCGAGGGAGTTCGAGATCGACGACGAGCGTACCGAGTAAATTTTTTCAAAGCAACGACGGGCTAAAGAGTCGGCGTGATGATTATGTAGAAAAGTATTTCGCGAAAACACGAAAGCGGATACACACAGAGACAGAGAGAACGTTAGCGAGATCGGCTCTAAAGTAGTAAATTTACTTTTTTCAACGAGTGCTGTTCGAATTGTTTCGCATCGCAGACGCAATGTCCACACCCCAGCGTGCACGCGTAGCGACTTCATACGATAATTTAGGTTAACGCTATAACGACCGGTGACGTGACTATGGTGTCATATGATTTTCAGCGGTTAGCGACCGTTTAAATACACGTATCTGTTTATATTCATTTACGTTTAGTAGTTCTACCTTCTTACTTTTCACGGATCCACAGTTACTGACTGTTTCATTACACGGTAAACTCTCTCTGGCCAGCCTCTGGATAAACGAATAATATAATTCATAGATAAATAGATTTGGTGAATAATGTTACATCTCTAACAATAAGAAGCATTGTACGATTGTCAAGTGCTTTATGTTCAGTCGTATTCTGCTACAGAAAAGTCACGATCCATTTCTACAGCAAGTATTGGCCGGATAAGAGGCAACGTAGTAAGTCCGCTGTACATAGTAAAAATTAGAATCTGTAAATTCTTAATAGAGTTCGCCGCTGTCTGGTGAAAGTCACTACTGTAAGTAACCGGTCGTTATAGCGTTAAGGTGAGGAATTTCTTATAAGCGTCAAGTGCATTTTATATCGATGCAATGGAGAAACATGTTCCTATTTTGCTATACGCTATTGATTTTTCAAATGTATATAGGAAAACAGAAACATGCTTCGGTCGAAAACCTCTGACGCGCACTTAAATGTAAGAAATCTCGTCTTTAGGGAGATGGAATGGCTTGTTTCGTCGCGATGGATGGTCTGTATCTTGTCTACATCCACGTTCGCTGATCGCAAAGACTGCTTCCCAGGCGCACCACGAACCTGGGAGACGACTCGTTTCAAACCGGCGAACGTTCGTCGAGTTAAATCAATGACGAGCGGCTCAAACGCTTCCAAGCAAGTCGGGGCCAGCCACGGGAAGAATTTTTTTAATTCTTTAATTTAACGAATTACGCTAGAGATATAGTTGACAGAGGCTCGACGCCTCGATGGATGGGCAAAGAGGGAAGAAAAGGAGGAGAAGAAGATGCGACCGGTAGTCAAAATTGCTCTGCGTGATACAGAAAATAAACGTATGTAACGTGGAATGTGTAAGCTCGTCTCATCGGTGCGTCGGGCCTGTCGATTAGGAGATTCTTACACAAGGTCGTTCCGTTTGCATTCGAAAAATGCGAAGGAAAGTCCTGCGAGGCTATCCGCGTTCGATCGTACAATTGTTTCGTGCGTGACACGTCGAAACGTCGCGTGCGAGCGAGCGCGTCCAGCCTCCGTTAGAGGAGAAAGAGAACGAAAAAGCTACTGAAGAAAAAAAAAAATGGCGACGATTAAGAAGCAATAAGTGAATACACGCAAATGCAGATTTTTATATAGAGAATGTTAAAAAATTTCAGAAAATATTAATTATCGATAGCGCTATCTTCCTAAATGTTCGTATTAAAGGTTAAAACGAGAAGTAAGATAAAGCGTAAGGGGTGACGGAGTCACACGATGGAGTCCCAACCGAACGAGACGGGAAATCGTTGCGTTGACGATTATCGAACGATACGCGATAATCGCACACGTGGGCGAAGTTGAAACGAAGGGGGAAATGATAAAAATTTCGGCCGGGACTCCAGCAAAGAGGAGAGGGGGAAAAAAAAAGAAGATTTTAAGAACTTTCAGCTGTAACTATTTGTGTCTAGCGACGAACCTGCGAGTGCGACCTGAAGTTTTGAGAATGTCGATAGTTTCCAGTGAATTAATATTTAGATTTCATAGATCTCTATCGATATTACACGATCGTAGGCACGAAACGAGCAGATGATAAAAATTAGTTAGAGCATAAATGATATCTTATTAGAGAGATACCTTTTCGATTTTCACTTTTCAGTCTTTCGCGTTCGAACGCCTAGAGCTGTCCCTTTTTTATTTCATTTTCTTCTACTTTCTCTACTTCTTTCACTCCGAAGAACCATCGTACGGCGCCTGCTTACAACACTTTCGAAGCTTTCGATCATACTTGATGACCACGTATTTTAATTCTCTCCCCTGTTCTCTCTCTAGATTTCCTTCTCACCGATTTCAACACGCAGTGCGCTTTTACTTTTTATTTTGTAAGAGACGAGAATCCAAGATACGAAACTGTCGAGAGAAGGAAGAGCGATAGGAAAAATAACTGCGTAATCCGAATCAAAATTCACTACGATTCACGCGAGAACGAACGATACAATAATTGCATTTCCTCTCCTGTCGTTTTCCTTTTTATTCGTCTTGTTCTTCTCTTTTTTTTTAATGTATTATTAGTTACGATTGTTTCTTTTTTTTTTTTCTTTTTTTTTTTTTTAAGTAATCAATTTCCATCGAGGAAACGTAGCGATGAGTTAAAAAACCGAATAGAAAGTCGTTGAAGATAATTTTCCTCAGACGCTCTTTTACTTAAATACCTTTTTTTTTTTTTACTCGATTAATGCTTTCTTGTACTACTATTTATTAAAAAGCAAAGAATGCCTTATTTATTGTTTAGAGATCTGACTAAATTAAAGAACGAGAAAAAGAAAGACGTTCTGATTGTGGTAGGTTATCTGTATTTACCTAACTTAGAATCGTTAGAAAGGGGACAAAAGAAAAAAAGAATAAGAGGAATTATTATTTGTTTACTTCGGAGTTTTTAAAAAGAACTCTGCCGGCGTTGTAAAAAACGAGACGAAAGGATAGAAGGGAGGGAAAAAAAAAAAGAAAGAAAAGCGCGAAATACAACATCATAGATAACGATCGTCGAGTCTCTAAGCAGTTAATATTAAACGATTAGTTAAGCGATATTTTTTTCTTAAGCGATCTACGTGCACGATGTTTAATATCTCATTTTCAATTGTTCTTCCTTTCATTTTTTTTTTTTTTTTTAATACCGTCTTTTTTTATCTTCGCCAGTCTGTTTACAGCGAACTTTGTCAAAGTACCTGCTTCGGAAACGAAAAGCAAACAAAAATAAAAAAAAAGATAAAATAAAGGAAAGAAAAAAAGACATATATTAAATTCGCGAGAAGACAAAGAGCACACAGGTACCGTCCCGTATATATTATAAATAGCTCATCTACTATTCACGTAACACGCATCCCATAATTTATGTATCTACTCATCGAACTGAGTTTTTAAACGCAATTGGTTCAGCGAATCACCATCGTGTGTCCTCGATTTCATTGTGTAAAAAAAAAAAAAAAAAATACAAAAAAAGAAAAATACAAAAAAGCGACAAAGCGCGACAGATGCAATAAGAGAAGTTAATGTCGACAAATTTTGGAATGTGTCTAAAACAAAAAAGCATTTTTCCTATGGTGTTGTCAAGACGATGTTGAATGTAAATAAGATATAATAAATAATATACCTTATACGATGTAAAAAAAGAGAGAGAATATTTTTTGTTCACTCGTGAACCTCACACGCAGTATTTTATTTACCATTTTTTATGCAACTGACTTAATATATATTCTTAATTTTACTGATTTTCATATTATTACTGATTTCGAAAATATTGATTGAACAAAAATAATAATTTTCTTTCGATTTTATTACGAGAGCTCAGTTTAATCTGTGTATCGTTTAACAAGCTTACTCTTTCATTAATAAACTTTCGTTAATTTCTAAACAGTAAAAGTCGACTTCTTTATTTTAATTATCTTTTAAAGAAGCTGCTTTTACCGTTCAAAAATTTATTTGACAATCTTTCAAAGAGGCACTACGTATTACTTTATATTACACATGTACATAGATACAGTACAGATGTGCAATTTTTCCTAATACATTCTCAAATGCTATAAAATTTATATAGAAGGAAAGTTGAGGATCCAATAAAAACATTGTTGCAAACGTTTATAAATTAATCCTGGTAATTAGCTTTTTTTTGCAATTGAACATTTGTTCAAATTCTGTACATTAAAACACTAACGCCACATAGCAGCAGAAAGGTGAAACTAATTAGCCCGTGTTTCTGCAATATTTTTCTAGTATGCTTTTTGTTCATGGAAGAACGTTTCTACTTATTCAACACCAGAGGGCAGTTCTGTTCAAGATACAGTTCTGTACATACGGTTTACACACAGTGAAATAGTCTTTGAGAAGCAACTTCCTTTTCCCGTTTGCTCTGCGTAAGGTTCGTTTGAGTTTTATGTTACATTTTAATACCCAAGTGTTTTAATTTAATCCTCAATGGTGAAGATGTTTTTATAATTATTCTGAAATCTACACCTTTTAACGATATAATTTATTGTTATATGAACAAACCTTCGTGCGAATTTAGATTTCAGAACCAAAATGGTGCAGAGATTAACATATCGACGTCGGCTCTCCTATAACACAAAGAGTAATAGGAGACGCGTGTAAGTATTCTTTAAGTAATAATAAGGGAATTATTGTATTTGATATAACACTATTATTTTCATAATATGAGAAATTTTTATAAAACTTCTGGTAGCATAAACATTTGATTATTTAAGGTTATGTTTTGGTTCACTTCAACATATAAAATTCACATGTTTGCTGTTTAAAGTCATGTCATCGTGAATTCCATTGAATATAAAATATTATTTGTTTCAGTTATTTATTATTTTAATTAATTTATTAAAAACTTGCATTTTATCGTTTGTAAACATATTATGTTTGTAAATTTACAGTGTGCGTACCCCTGGAGGAAAATTAGTATACCAATACCTTAAAAAACCGAAGAAAATTCCCAGATGTGGTCAGTGTAAAGATAAATTAAGAGGCATTCAACCAGCTAGACCTATGGAAAGATCACGAATGTGTAGGCGAAAGAAGACTGTGAAACGAGTATATGGTGGTGTCCTCTGCCATAAATGTGTCAAAGAGAGGTTGATTTTCTTTATTTCCACAAAATAATTGTTTATAAAGATTTATTACTGAACACTTATATTTGTAGGATTGTTAGGGCTTTCCTTATTGAAGAGCAGAAGATCGTCATAAAGGTGATGAAAACACAAGCTTTCGCCAAATTAAAGAAAGCAGAAAAGTAATTATATACTTTTCATTTTATAAATAAAATATATTTAAAGACTCAATGTGACACAAATTATTTTTTTATAATTACATTTATTTAGTTCATTATAATGCTTTTCATAATTTAGCACATGTAGTTATATAATTGTATAACATTATGTGTTTAATGATGTACAATAAGTAATGAAGTCTAATCATTTGTCAGAAATTTCAGAAGTCATCTGAAATTTATCAAAAGTTTAAAGGAGTGTAACATATTGTTTTTGTTTCATTATTCATCTATAATGTATATACTGCATATATACAAATATACCCTGATATGCTTACGATTATCTTTGGAAGAGAATGATTTTAATTTTATCATTAATAACCAATATAAGAAAAGAAATGCAACCAATATAAAAATAGAATGATGTAATGCATAAACGAGGAACTTGTAAGACTTGTGGCAAATGAAGAAGAAAACCAATCTCGCCTATATCGACTGAATCGATCATACCGATTGCCTCTTCGAAAAAAAAGCAAAGGCCAGGATTCTCGAAAATAGTTTCGCGAAGTTATCTCGGAACATTGATGAAGAGGAGCTTCCCAAAGATCATCTTCCCATGATGCTAAAAGCAGAGTATAATCTCCTTTCCAATCAAGACCAATTCTTGCTTTAAACTTCAAAATTGCTGGAGCTTTGAAGTTGGTTCCAAGTATGCAATTTTTTGTCCATAAACCTGCTTCGTTTCTTATATGCTTAATTTCCTTAGTAGTTCCTTTGCAATTAATTGGTATTATCTTATCAACAGGAATGAATGAATATTCAAGAATTTTTAATTCTAATTCACTTGTTCCAAAAGGTAACTTATCTTTCTGGACCTTAAAATTACCAATAATGGATTCTTGTTCTTGATTAATTTTCATTTTCTGCCTTTGTTTTAGTTCTAAACTATTCAATTCTTCAGTATCTTTGAACAAATGACGATGTATGTTCAATACTAGATTTTTCCTAAGTTTTTCCAAGTCTTCAATATTGGATGTCTTTGTATTCGAATCTTCAACGTCTCGTCTTTGTCGAACAACACGTTGAACGTAATTTCCAGCTGCATTGATTGAATACAACGAATTCGAACATGTAGAATCAACGTAATAAGTCCAACGCGCGAACCATCTGCTGTCATCGGAATAAATTTGAAAAAATCTCTTAGACCAAAATCCTCCATCAACACTTTCGCATCTGATGCTCAACCAAACACCGCCTATAACCGCTGGAAGTGGAGGCGCTTGATGAAACAAAGGTGGACTATACTCGGTAGCGCGGTACACATTTCCACAAATCGGGCAATCAGCAGCCTACAATATTTAAAACAAAAAATGTTTCATCTATTAATTATTATGGAAATTATGCTTTTCTGCGCATCTTTACCCTGTCGGCACGTAACAAAGACGTAGATTGCAAATGATTTGGAGCCTGTTGTATTTTCTGGAAACGAATATTTCGTGCAAGTCCACCAAGCCATAATTCAACTCTTATACGCATTTTATCTTCACCATTATTTTCATTCCTTAATGACTTCGCAGCGGAATTAGATCGTTTTATTTCTACTCGGAGTAACTTTAATTCCGAGAAATCAATTTCAAAAGATTTCAAACAGTCCATTGTGTGTCGCTTCCTTAGCCGCAATAGACGACTTTGAAGAGAATTGGAATTCAAATCGTACATATTTAAATCCATGGGTGATGAAGAAGAAGAATTTGTAGATCGTTCATAGATAAGCTGTACTAAATAAGGACGCCACTTTGTTTCGATACCACCGCAGCTTGCATTCATTATACGTCCAAATTTATGAGCGACCTGACAATTTAATGAAATGTAAAAGTTCTCTGTCATTTGATCTTTGACTTTTTAACATCCAAAGAAGATTGATCTACCTGTCTATTGAGTGGTATCAAATAAACTGAGTCCAATTGTACGCTAGTTTCCACAGCACCAGAAATTACAATAGATGGAGATAAAATTTTAACAGAACCACGCGCTACAACGGTATATGTTGCGACGCTGCATGATTCGTCGTCATAATGATATTGTAATAGAAGAAACGAGTCGTTCTTAAAAAAACTGTATTTCCTTATGACATATTTTGGACCAGCTCGTATTTCACATCTGAAGAAAAAATAATAATGTATTTATAGGATATTTAAAACGTTATATTAAATAATGTTTCCTTAGTCGAAAAATTCAAAATGTTTAGTCCTGAAATGATCTATTGTAAAAACTTTTACTCATGCGATATCCACGTTGAATGCAATCTAGACGGTGTATTGTCTGTTATAATTCCTTTGTTATCAGAATCAATCTTTTTCATCATCATCTCGCAACGATCATTCTCTATTTCTTCTTTTAGTGAAACTGTACAATCGAATCCTAAGAATAAAACAATTGGAACAAAAACATTAAGTGATTTTAAAGCTTTTCAGCAATCGAGTTGTAATCTCGTGACAAAAAAAAGGTAAAAAAAACGATGAAATTTTGTTCTGCTGCATTTCCACACCCATCTTTTTCTGTCTTTTCCATTGGTATTCCAATCGGATCGACAATGAGATACGATGAACTTCGTGATGTTATGCAGCTATCCAAGAAACGCGCATCAATCAGAAGTAGAAGGATGTTGAGTAAATTTTAAAGAATAAATGAATAAAACAGTTGATCCAATACAATTGGAAATACATGTTGAAATAATACAATTTATAAAATAAACTTCAATTAACTTACCAATAAATAAGTAGAGAAGAGAAACTGTAAATAATGGTTGCATTCTTGGTCACTGCAGCGAAAGTTTCCAATATGATATTTTATTTATTAGCAAAAATAAATTTTACTGAGATCAAAAATTTTTTACACCACCATAGAGAGAAATATCAATAAATCATATGTTCTGTTAAAAAGTTATATTATTATCTTAGAACTCTTTCTGAGTGATCTGGGCAAACTCAAGTATTGTTCAAGTCACCCTCAGCATATATAGCTTTATCCCTTCCCGACCTTCTTCGGTCAACTGATGAAGTGGTGGACACAAGTGGTAGATGCATCTATTATTTACGACATAAATAACATTTAATTTGCAGTTATTTTCCAGAAGGAAAATTTTATTTATATCAGTCAAGCTTAATTCAAACGCTATTGATTAGATTTTTAATTATCAAACATCACAATAATTTCAAGCAAGCTTTACAAGCCTTATATAAAGATATCTCAGTTCAAAATATTTTTATAATACATTTCCAAAATAGTTTCGAACGAAAGTGATTCAACGCATGGATTAAACGTTATGAAAAAGAAACGGAATTTAATATATATCTGGTAAAAATAGTTTTGGAGCCTTTTACCTACATATTTTGTTAAGTTATCATTGATATAATTTAGACACTTTATAATTCGCGGGAAACTTTATTTTTAAAATTTTAAATGAGAATAGTATGTATCTTAGAATTGCGAGGGCGCTACATTTTGCCTGGCAGAACTAACCTATGTGGATTTCATAATTCATAGTAAAATTCGAATTTAGTTTTTGGTATCATTTTATGTTGATTCAACGTAATTATATTAATGTAGAATTAAAAACTAAATCATTGAGAATATATATATATATATATACATATGTATATATTCATTGTTATTATATGAAGATGAAGTTTCGGAATCAAATGCTAATTGGTGAAGTGTATACAGTTTCATTTTAAGCACGTGAGTGAAAAAAAAAGCTGCCTTAAAACGTTCGATATGGCAAAACTTTATTCGTATTATACGTTATGTCCTCTTATCGACCAACAGAATTTGTTAGGTGTCGAAAGAGATTCAGAAAGTGGATGTGCAATCGTAACATTAGGAAGAAACATTGTAATCCGGTATAAGGTAAATTGTATTAATAACGTTTGTTTACATTAACAATAATCGATGTTGTCTGTTATCTGTAAATGATATAATTTATTTTACAGTTGCAGGATTTAAAGCAATTAAGTAGCTGGACTAGTAAAGATCGTTTGACGACACAAGTTATTTATGATGAAACAAAGTGTCAATACGCCGCGGTATTTAATGAAAAAAAAATACGTCTTTGGACGGCCGATGAAACGGATTTAAATAGCATCAAGGGCTATAAATTTCAGTCCCCTTTGCATACCATTCTTACACTTGAAGATTGTCCACCTATATTGGTACGCAAAGATGGAGCTACTGCTTCATTAGAAAAAGCTATAGAAAACAGAAAATCTTGGTCCAAAGAAGGAATATTAAAAGTCAATGAGAAAATATTGGATTGTTATTTGATCCGCATTAGTGATCAAATAAATTTGTGTATATTAACTAACCTTGAAGGAACATACAATTGTGTTATAGTTAAACTGAACAATGAAACCTATTCTGAAGAATCAGATTGTGTTAAAAGACTGGAGTTAAAGAGAAAATCAGAAGAATTAGTTGGCCATACTGTATTACAAGCTAAAAATAAAGCTTGTCTTCTAACGCTATGTAAGCTTTTAAGTCTCTAATTTCTTTTTAAATATTTTCATGTTATTAATTTATGTATTTATTTCTTGTTATTCAGGGTCACATGGTCGATTGTATAGTCATCCTTTAATGGAAATTAATAGTGAATCTACTTTAAGTACCTTAATTGGTATTATTAATAATATTAATACTAAACATCCAGTAGTTATGACATCTCTAAATGAGGGAACTGTGGCAATTTATGGGGCTGATGTCTCTGAAGAAGGAGCTATATTAATGATTTATAATGTACAGTTCAAACTAATACAAGATGCTCAGAAATTGAAATTGTATACAAGAGATGCAAAGCTGTGGAAAATTGAGGACAAGTTGTTACTTGCTGCTAATAGACATTTAGCAATTGCTCCCTATCACCTTGCACCTCAGAAAATAGCAACTTTACTTGGATCATCTTTGCGTTTCAAAAACGATGATGAGAGTATTGATGATAATGAGATCATGGTAATACAAGAATCAACAGTTGCGCAGTGGGAAAAGAATGAAACAACTTTGATTAAACCAAGACAGAAACCTACGAAAAAACTTTTTAAGCAAATATCATCTTACATAAAAGAAGGATTAAGCGATGCCGCAATACAAGAAATATTAATTCCGGAGTTGATCGAGTCGAAAGACGTTGAATCAATTATATGGTGTTTAAATAATATGAAAGATTTGCCAGAGAAGTTATTGATCGATCTCCTAATATTTTCGTTAAGAAATCCTGATGAAACTTTTCTACCATTACAAAATGGCACAACTGAGGATTTATCGACTGTCAAAAATTTACATTCAAGAAATGATTTTCTTGACAAAATTTTTAGTCTTACTTATTCTGATATTTCTTTATCATCTTATCTTAAGAGTGGTTTAAATTTTGATGAAATACTTCGATTATTACAATACTTAATCCAAAAATTAGATTCTCAAGATTTTTGTTATGATATTGTACAGGAACCAACTGAAAAACAGTTATATGAATGGTCTAGTCTTTTGTTAGAGTCCCATTATCAACACTACATACTATCACGAGATCCAGAAGTATCAATGCTACTTAATAAACTTAGTTATGTTTTAGATGATCATGTAAGTTTATATAAAACTTAGTGTAACTACTTTAATAAGTATTTTGACTTTTTTGCTAATTAATTTTTTTTTGCAGTTACAAGTATTCAAAGATATGGAAAATATGAGGCCCATTTTGAAAAGAACAATTAGTGGCAAATCATCGAAATTATTACAAAAGAATCGTAACAAATTTTATACGATAGAAGAAATAAAACTCTACTAAAATACAATATTTAACGTAAATTATTTCTTTTATTATTATTAATATGTAAATGAAATTGTAAAATATTTTTTTATATATGTATATACAGATTTAATAATACATTTGTGGTAGAAAGTCATTAAGATGTGAAAAAAATAAAACCCGAAATAAAGAATTTTTATTTTTATTCATATCTACAGAGTTACATTCACTGCAGCAAAATGCACATGAATATTAAATATGTTGCGCCGATTAAGATGAATGACTTTCGTATATCTCAATTTTAATCTTCGCAATATCGAAGGTTCGTATCGATTTCGTGTTACTTGTGTGATTAGATGTAACTACTAAATTTATTTTAATTCTTCAAGATGTGGTACAGTTTTCAAATTACCAATAGCAGCTAAAGATAATCTCCCTTTGGCAAGTTTGTCTGCAACCTGGAAAACATTTATTGTACAACTGAAGAATGTAAAAAATACATTACAGTCCAATACTATTAATGTACATACAGCTTTAACATCAGATGCAGAAATTTTATCAACAGCATTAGCTATTGATATTGGTGAAGAGACTTGTCCTTTTAACACAGCTTGTTGTTGCAAGCTTTCTAATAAACAAACTTGATTATCTGCTGCGTCCAGAATTTCAGTTTTCAATATATTTTTACCACGAGCAACCTCATTTTCAGTTACTTTTAAAGATTTCAACCATTTAGCAGTTTCTTTTGTCAACTGCAATAAAATGAAATTAGGATAATATTTATTATTATAGTTACAATATTCTATATTACTTACAGATCCTATAATGTCGGGTGTTGAACATAACACAACACCAAAAAGTCCTGAATCAGTATAGCTAGCGTTGAATGTTGATGCAGCAAATAGTTCTGATCCTGCAACGCACGAAAGTTGTTTATGTAGCGATGTTGGACTAGATCCCCATTTAACTCTTGTCACACTGGACGTTCTTTGCAATATAGCACATGCTAAAGCTTCTTCCTCATTTTTCAGGCTTACACCTTCTACAGCTAATGCTACATTAGTTAAACTTGCGCAAGTTTCTTGATGAATTTCATTGCCATGATATTTTATTGCTTCATTTGGCTTATCTGCTGATTGAATACTTAAATTTGATCCTAAAGCACTAAGTTCTGCTAGTGAAACACCAGTACCAACAACTGCACATCTAGGTGCAGTACACCAAGTATTGACAAAATGTAAGAGCTATAAATAAAAAGTAAATATACTAAGTAAGTAATAAGTAAAAATATACTAAGGATTTTTCATTATTTGTCAAAATTATTTATAAGAATTATACTTACACTTTCTGAATTAATTGTGCCTACTCTGTGTTCAGGGCAGAAAAGAGAATATCCAAGTCCATTGTAATAAGCTGCTTTATGCAATAATTCAATTACCCAAACTGTATCAGATAGAGAAGCTAATTCATATTTTAATCTGGGTAATTGATCCTGTACTTCCCATGGCTTAAAAACTTGCTTAGTAACAGCACATTCTAGATATTGAAGAGACTCTTCCCTATTAATTAAAAGAAATAGCTCATAATGAAAATTTCAGTAAACTACAAATAGCAAAACATAAAAAATATTTACAGATTATTTCTAGTGATCTGCAATGTATATGCTATACTTTCACGATCAAGAGTGGTTATTAAATTTCCACCACGTTGTTGGATATTCCTTGTTATAGCAAAAGCACTTGCGACTGATGTACTCAATCCTGCAGCTAAACGCAAATGATGTGCTATACCTTGTGTATCATATGTTTCATTTCTTGATCCAGCTCTATAAATTAAATAATTCATGTACAAGAAAAATATTGCAAATTAATCTATGCATATTATTTCAGATTTCAAATACCTGAAAACAATGGACACTTGTGCAATTGGAGAATTGTTATCATAAGCTGCAACGGTAACTTTATTGCTCAAAACTTTACATTCTGGAGTTGCTGCACAAGCTGCACTTGGTGCAGTTGCTGCAACTGCATAATGTCTAACCTAGTACATGATAAAAATTGTTTTTAATCTTGATAGAAGATTTCAAAATTTTAAAAGAGGAAACTATTTTCAAAGTGTACTTGTAATTAAAGGAGCCTTACGATTAAAGGTAATCATTGGAAAATTATATAAGAAACAAGAAAATAATTAAAATTCGATTGTAGAAAGAATGCAATTGCTGGACTACGACAGAAATTGACATACAGAGCAGTATCAAGTGATTTATATAACAGCTAGCTGAATGGATTTATGTTAATAAATAAGGAACGATGTTTTTTTTTACGAATAAAAAACAAAGAAGAAAGAATTATTATTACCGTAGGATTACGTAGCAAAGAAGACCGCATTTTCCTGTTTTTTTGGAAACCTCCTTTTAAGATGATTTAATATGAAATTGCACTGGTGAACTGCAAGATTATAGATCGCAGTTGGTATATACCTACGTTTGGTCGAGTGGGAACGATTGCTGTAATCAGCTGATGTCGCTCTTCAGCGAGCGCGAAAATGCGCATCAATTTAAACGACTGTACGACGATCAAATGAGGTTAGTAAATAATAGTATATGTTTTGTTCTTTTCTATACACTAATTCTTATTACGATAATAACAAATACAAAAAGGTAATATAACTCTCGTTGCGATCTTATTATTTTTATGGTTTATTCTATTAATTTTGCTTGTCATGTTAAGAAATCCGATACAAATGTATTCCGTGTCGTATTTGTACTCGTGAACATTGTTGTTTAAAAGTTTTGTGTAATTGTAACTAGTAGTACATGAATATACGAACAAGGGAAAAAATTGATACTTCCTCGGCTATTTCTGTTGTTTCTTACAAAAGAAATAATATTAAACGTGTCAATGCTAATTAAAAATGAATAGGAAGCCCTAAGTTGCAAAAAAACGCAATGTACAATACAAAAGAAATAAAATAGAAGAAAATATCATTGTCATTAATAAAAAGATAAACAATTGATCGATATTTACTTCAAAAATGAGAAACATAGTAGTTGTATCACCTAAAAAGAAAAACGTGCGATGTACATACATCTATCCAATTATGTACATACATACATACACATACGCTTGCACACATCATACATACAACTGTATATTTATATACTTATTTATCATTAATACTACGAGTATTTCTATTTAATACAAAATAATCGGTGCGTTCATGTTAAAACTGTACATACAGTGATAAACGTCTTATCGATTTGGCACAAAGGTTGCACGATTCCTTATTCTTTGGTAGTAGCAAATGAAATAGTAAAGAAGATTGGAAAAAGGTGTAAACTACGCTCATTTCTTATATGTGTGTGTGTTTATGTATCTCGATATACATACTTGTAAATAAATTCGATTGTATTGTTAATCCAATCTTAATCAATATTTATATGATACTTATTTTAACAACGTTTCAAAGATAAAAAAGTGCGTTTTTTTATGCAAATGAAACAATCGTTGCAATTTTTTGATAGTACTGACATTTCGAATGCCCAGAATATGATAATAATAACTAATATTACTTTAATACAAATGTTTAATATGACTAGAATAAAAATGAGACGTTTAAGAAAATTTAAGTTTCATTATCATCGCATATAAATACACTTATAACTATCGTTAGGCAACTTGATTGATTTATTTCGCGGATTGTGATTTGTCGTAAATGATCGAAATCACGATTCACAATATTTGTCGAGAGGTAAAAATTTCCACGCGCATTAATAATATCGCAGCTTTTCACTCATCTGTTTATCCCATTACTGTTTCTTTATCTTATTACGACAACCTGACTATGAATTCTTAATCTAAATTTGAAAACAAGGACGACGTGTAGAGGAGACGACGCCGTTAACTAATTATCCGAAAAATACTGTTGCAAAAATTTATGGCAACTACCGTTACATCTTACGAGTACTTTCTTGTTGACGAACAAGAAGTAGAAGAATATACATATATATTAAAAGTTAAGTAACATTTCACGAGAAGTATCACTTACATCGAAAAAATTTATCACCAGTTAACTAAAAGTATGATTACTATATTCAAGTTTTACATGATTATATAAAAGAACGTGCGTACTATAAATTGTACGATTCTGGGAACTACACAATTGAGAAATTAATCTTCTTTCTAATCATGCATTGTACTTCTAATCGCAGAACGAATTTCTACAATTTTGTTCATAAATAGTTTAAAAAAATAAAGTTCACTCCAAAAATAATAGATACACGTCACTTTTTACTATATACTTTTGTGACACTCGCGTTCGACCGGTTGACTAATTCAACCATGTGCATTAAACCACTCGAAAACTAGACGATCTAACATAACTGGTTTTATCATATTTGTGCGCATCTCTGTTTCAGAGTTGTACTTTAATTCGAATGGTAAAGTTCTAGAAATTTTTACTGTATCTAACGTTGACTTTGCATTATCATATGTGTGCAAGAAAGACCAAACCAATAGTGTCGACATTCCGTAATTGGTCTCCGTTGTTTGTTATTTAATTTAATGTACAAGTTAATGTATAAAAGAATTTCGCTTCGACTAGCTCATGGTCTTGAATTTCTAAATAGAAAAAACAAAGGGAAAAGACAGCTTTGGATTGGACGGAAAGTTCGTTCTGTTTATGTAGTCGAATTGAGAATCTTTTCAGTAATTTCTTTTCTTTATTTTATAATGATAAACAATCATCGATTTAAAAACGCAACAAATTTTCCGTTCAATCCAGTATGTATGAACATTTATACCATAGTGATATAGCATATTCTTTCATTATTTACGGTTGAAATATTTTTATAGCAAAAATTATATTAGAAAAGTTACTCGGTGGGTACTTTAAAATATAGGATAAAGGTACTGAAATTATCTATGTTAGTTAATAATAACTGGAATAATGATGGTATCCTGGTCTTGGTGGATGATACGGAGTAGGACTTACAGGATAACTTGGATTATATCCTGACAAAGAAGGCGGTGGAGGAGGAGAAGATAAAATTCGTCCATCGACCGCGTCAGGTACGATATGTGGATTGCCGGAACCTGCAGGTTGTGGACTTGTTATTACACGAGCACCGGATCCATGCAAATGATGTGGTCTTGAAAGAGTGAGATCTACCGTATGTCGTCCACCAGGAGTAAGATCTAAACTTACAACCCTTAGAACATCGCTATGAGGATAAGGTGGAGGAGGTGGTGCAGGTGGTGGCGGTGGCGGAGGTGGTGGTGGAGGAGGAGGAGCTGAAGGGGGTGGTGGCGGTGGTGGAGGAGGAGGCGGTGGTGGTGGTAGTGGTGGTGGTGGTGGAGGCGGTGGCGGTGGAGGAACTACGGTCACTGAAGAACCAGATGATACTTGAGAAGGTACTGAAAGTGGAGTAGGTGATATCGAGTAGCTTCCAGTCCTGCTAAGATCAACACTTTGTCTTTCTGCAATTTCGTATAAATGATGATGATGATACCGTGCATTTTGTATTTGTACACCAAAACTATGATGAAATCCTCTAGCAGACATATCCAAACCCTGAAGTTCTCCATTTAGAACAAGAGGCTCGAAACTAGTTCTTTCTCTAGCAAACTCTTGGTCGAGAGAATCATATTTGTATGATGTCGAAAGATCTAATTGCATTGTCTTCTCTTTCACGGAAAGACTGAGATTTTGTACAACTGAATCGCCTTCGTCACTAGACAAATTATCCTGAGATACCTGATGATGATGATGGTGATGATGGTGATGATGATGATGGTGCACATCTTGATATCTGGGATTTGGTGTTTCTGAAGGTGATACTAAATCTTCTTGTTGAATATGTATGTAACCGTTCGGCGAAGAGACACGTGGTATTTCTTCGTGATGTAAATACTGTTCGATGTTATGCGTTCTTGATGTACCAATGTAATCAACAGGTCGATGCAGTTGATAATCGACATGTAAATGCGTGGGTGGTGTATTTCGGCTATCTGGCGTAGGTGCAGGAGATATCAGTTCCTCTTGTTGTTGTATATAGGAATCTAAATGGTTCGGTGATCTCTGAGGTAATGGAGATTGTAACTGACTGGATATTGAGTAAAGATTTGTGTCGCGATCGTTATCATCCAATATTGGACTAGTTACTGCTCCTATATCCCGTTCAGCAGCATCAAGAGCAGCTTCAACCAATAAGCTAGCATTCGCGCTTTCAGTTCTTCTATAGACACTAAGTCCTAGTTTGTTATTTTCCATAATGTTTTGCGTTCTGTTATTGTTTGTTGATATTTTATCATCAATTTCTTTTCGAGTATCCTCAAACTCATAAGTATTTCCGGTAACAACATTTGTTGACAAATGAGAAATAGTATTAGATACTACTGTTACATCTGAAGAAATATGAGGATTGAATTCACCAAGCCATTTTTTGCTTCCTTTACTTTGTAATCTGGAAGTATTATATAAATCTGTTTCTGTGCGAACGCTTTCTACTGTCGATTCAAGACCACTTGGCATTGACGCACCCATCGGAAGTGACGATGATGTAATTCGGGAATTATGCTCAATTTTATACTTTGACGTAGGACTTGTACCAAACTCGATTATGCTTGAATGTGTAGAAATATTTGGTGTTTCAATCTTTAATTCATTTTTGGGGCTATCATTCACGGATATTTTATTATCATTTTCATTCTGAAATTATAAATTACAAATAGAATATTGAATTTGAAATGATTTCATCCTGCGAACGCGTATAAACAATATTGATGAAGAACAAACCTGAGAAGTTTTTTTACTAGGTCGAGGTGTTTTTCCACGACCAACATCTTCGACAAGTCCACCGCTATATGCGTCGAAAGTATAAGCAACAGATCGCTCGATTTTTGGCATCATTTCTTCTGTAAGACCATGTACTTTTTTGTAATGAAATTGTAAACACTGTTTAGTCGTAAATGCTGCTTTACAACTGTTTTCTTTGCATCTGTAATTTAAAACAGATACCTACTATTACATTTAATAAAAAAATGTAAAATTAATTATCTACAGAAATATCATAATCCTACTTGAACGGTTTTACTCCACTGTGTGTCAACATATGTATTTTGAGATTACTCTTATTTTGGAACATTTTTCCACATCGATCGCAAGTCGCGGCACCAACTACATCTTTATGATGAACTTCTTTCATATGACGTTGAAGAGCAGCGCGAGATCCCAAAAGTTTCAAGCATAATTTACATTGAAACTCTCTGAGCACTTCAGACATATCTAAACATTAATTTAAATTAGAAACAAATTCTATTAATAGAATTACTCAACTATTACTTTATTATTATTTATTAAATACTTACCATTATGCATTCGTTTGATGTGCACTTTTAATTTTTGTGGCTGACAAAATTTGCGGCCACAAAAATCACACAATGGTCTTGAACGTTGTGGATTTTGTGCGCAACCATACGTACGATGCATCTCAAGGTAATTTAAACGTAAAAAGAATTTTTTGCAATATTGACACTGATATGCACCTCGACCTCCATGTAATTCTGCTGCATGTTTCATAATGTTATCCTTACCTAAAACAGCAGCTCCACATACCTAAAGATATGAAATAGATACATATATTCACCCGTTCAAAAATAAAGCATATAAAAAATGTTGATACAAAATGTAATTCAATGTTGCCTACCTTACAATGATATTTCCTTATAGTTAAACTATAGTTAGTATCATGAAAGATACAACAATGTAACCGATAATATATTGGATGGGCAAAATTTAAATTACATCCTCCACAGTCTAGAAATATGAAGTCAAAACATGAACTTAAAGAAATAATATAATATAGGCTTTTAATTAATTTATATTTTGAGAAGATGATACTATACTCGTCTTGTCTACTTTATTCTTTCGTGTCCATGCAGAAGATTGAGAGTCTGCCCAATAAGTCAGTTCCATTCCTGACACAATATTCTGTGTAGTAACAAGATGTAGTTCTCCCTGTTTTGTTATTACAGCTACACTTCGTTCCTCTTTTGTTTCAGCAGGTCTAATATAACGGATCCAATTACTTTTTAGTGGATTAGTGGTGCTTATATAGGAAGTTTTACCATCATTATCTATCTAAAAAAAAAAGGGAAAAAAGAAAGAGAATTGTTTTATTATTCAAACGTTTGACAAGTAATGATTAATTAAAATAATTGATAAGTAATTGATTAATTAAAATAAATGTAGTTTATACATACAAAAATAAAAAATATTGCATTGATTTTACCTCCCAAATGTGTCTCATGGGAAAATCATCAGGAATATCCATTTCCCTAACTGGTTGTCCAATGAGAGGACCCAATTTAACATGCATTGGAACAGAACTTTTTGCATATATTCCAAGTCCATGTTCTGAATTGGTAATTTTCAACTCAAAACATTCAGGTAAAGAGTCTCTAGCATACAATGGTCGATCTATATCTACAGTTAATTGTTTTTCCTCCTTCTGAGTTTTCATTTTTGTTTTACATTGTTCAGTTAGTAAGGATTCATCATCTGATTCATTATTATCTTCTGTTATTTTCCCATATCCTTCAGATATAGGATCATCTGATTTTATGGCCTTTAAAACTTCTGTATTTTCTTTGTGTTTATTTAACCAATTTTCATATGATATAGAATCTGAAATAGCATACAGAGGTGTTATTAGTGGACATGCGTCCTGCAAGTGACGATTATTACATTCCTGGCAGAGCTTTATTTTAATAGCTAATCTTTGAGGCTCAGATATTAGGTTCTCAACATTTGTTTCATTTTGAAGCTTTTCAATTGTAATTGAAGTTGTATCATTTATTGTAGAACAAGTATTCTTATCTTCTTGCACAATTATTCCATCCTGCGGTGCTTTCCGTACATCATGATGTTTACGATTTTTATGCTCATTAGTGTGTTTGTGCCTTTTTCTTCTATGTTTATGTATGAAATCATCTACAATGTCTTCAGACGAATCTTCTTTTAGGTTTTCATCATCATTCTCCTCAGTATCATATTTCAATCGTTTTCGTTTCTTTTTCAATTTTCGATCTTCTATTTCTTGATTTATATTTACATTGATATTTGAACAATTAGAATTTGTATCAACATATTGTATATTATTTGGGCTGTTCTTATCATCTTTTATCTCACTAGGTTGCACGTGAGGAGTCATGGTAGATGTTGAATCTGTTGCATTCAAGATTTGTTCTACCATACTTTCACTGTTACTCTTAGCATCAGATGATATTGTTAAACAATTAGATCTTGACTGTTCATTTTTGTCACTAACCATCATAATCCTTTCCATATCAACATCTTCAATATCATGATAAAGTACATTTTTGTTAATATTTACATTTTCTATATATTCTATGCTATCTACGTGTTCAGTCTTTGACTTAACAGATTCAACTGTCTTCGTACTAATGCGAAGACTGTTTTTTAACTTCAACTCTACTTCACTGGCTGATTTAGAGTTGTCTTTTTTAAAGGAAGTTTGTTCCTCATCTCCTGATGTAATATCACTAGAAGATCGTATAACAGAATCTAATGGTGAAACAATATTTTCAGTTCTAAAACGCCTTTTCCTTTTCCGTTTATCTTTATGATGCTTAGCTTTATTTTTATGGTGTTTAGATTTTGAAGTATGTCGAACATGTACATCAGCATCATTAGATAACTTGGTTTGTGCCTCAACAGCAAGTGTTTCAGATTCTGCAACTGTGCTACTGTTTTGTTTCCTCAAGCTTCGACGAACAAATTCCCTTGTATCTTCTATCAAATCTTCAGTTTGCATCGGTTCTGTTTTGCTCTTTTTCTCTTGACCCATTTCCTTTTCCTCTTCTCCATTGCACTTAATGTTGTGTCTATTAAACAAAAACACATAATTAAATGCACTGCATAAAGTATAGATACAAAAGAGGTATTAAATTACAACCGTATAAATCATCAGTCTTTAAAAACATAAAAAAAAAAGGGGAAACAATGATTCTTAATACTTTTATAAATATTACATGGAAATTGATTTACCTGAATGTATTTGGTACTCGGAGTTAAATAAAATAGACATTTCTTCCGTATTGATCCGTATTCTCAAAATCAAAATCAATGAAAATCAGTGAAATCGATAAAATTGACAACTATACTTTTGACGAATAAAAAAATTATCGATTGTTTCCACCCCTGTGACATCAACCCTACAAGATGGCGATTCGAGGGAAAATTTGGACACGATAGAGGGGAAGTCCTGCTTTTGAGTGACATGTACGTTTAAGTATTGATTAAAATAGTCTTCGATGACACGAACAGAATATTCGACAAACGTTGGTCCAAACAGATTATAATTGAAACTGAGAAAGAAGTGCGAATTTAATCCGACGCAAGCATGTATTGGAATCCTACCTGGAGACAGATTCAGCAAGATCCAGCAAATAGACTGCAACATCTTCATCCGTTGACAGACCTAAGCGTTTTTTAAGAGAAAGCCAACGTTTACCGTTGGTAAGACCAATCCGAACGCTCAGAAAGTGTTTCGTTTTCGGTTCTGCTGTTGCTTCGAGATTATTGCTTTTATGATAAGAACTTCTCGTTAACCCCGGCTCTCTCACATGTCTAGTACTTTTCTTCGGCATAACTACATCGTAGATCTGCCGGTATTAAAGCGGCGAACTTGAAGCTACCGCGGAGGTCGCGCACCGATATTATCCTATCCTCTTTATGCCCACCGCCTGATCATTGCCGCCCACTCCGCCCTCTCCGCCTACCCTGGTCGCAACCCCGGCACTCTCCCATCCACTCACACTCTCCAAATCTCTATTTCACTCTCTCTCTATTACTTCGTTATTCTACTTTCCTTCTTCGTAGCCTGTGTACCCCGTGACCACGATCTTCCTCTTTTATCGATCCTGTCGTTCGCGCTTCATCACTACGAACTTACGTGCGTTCGATGTATGAACGTACTTGCACGAGGAAAACGCACGTACATGAGTATACATCGCGTATACTCCTGCATTGAATGAGTACAAATTTATAGACGCAATATGAATAAACTCACGTCTCGTCTGTATGTAATTGTTTGTCATTTGTACGACGAGTTATTATTAATTAACCGCTTTTTTTTCATTTTATAATACGTAATACAAGTTTCTTTCTCATTAACTTTGTATTTGTTCCATTTCGTAATTGCAATTGTAAAGGTTACGACTGACCATGAGCAATTTGGAGGCAACTTGTATGTTGTTAGATGCGCGTACGATAAGTAATTGGTATTTCAAGATTCATACTAATATAACAGGAACTACATATACATGTATAGATATTTTATAAATAATTCTTCAATTTCCTCGTTTCTGGTTAGATAAACAAACAACTTTTTCGAAGTAATGCTTCCCTTGTGTATTTGTTGTATACGTTTTTTTTCCAAGTACAGCTTATTATTTTCATATATTTAAAAAAAATAATAATTGTTCATAATTACTTATCACGATATCTCGCAATTATTTAATACTTGAATTTACAATGGACAAATATCGACTAGAGTAATACCTCTGAATCGAACATTTATATCGACTAGTCTGCAAACGATATCTCGTTTCGATATGTCGAAATTCGATTGATCGATACCGCTAAAAGAATATATTCTGTAGTTCGTATTATGTATTTGCTCGGCATTCGCGAGTGCATTACATACGAGTCGAAGAAATCATCACTAGAAAAATGTCACGACAAGCAATTAAAGCGATAAATTGGGCTGCTCTTGCTGAACGAATTCCGGAAGCTGAAAAAGCTGCCTACAATGCTTTTAAAGTTAAATCTGATAAATATTTACAGCGGTTAGTAAAATCCGTAAGGTCAACTCATTATTTGATCATTTATCCCGTTATATAATATGTTCATATGTATGTATTAAATCCCAGTGTTAAAATAATCGAATGATTTACAAAAAATATACTGTTCCTCTTTTACGGATTTTTAAAGAAATAGTTTTCTTTGCTCAAATTCTCGTTAAACTTTATGTGAGCAAAGTGTCATAACCTTGTTGGTACTAATTTTAAAATAGCGATAAGTATATTAACCCTTCAGGAACGATGTGTCAAGACTGTAGTAACTTCTGTGCAACTTCTGTGAGAGGTTATTTCAACACTAAATTTTATTTCACTACTAAATTTTTTATAATTTATAAATGAAATCAATGTGACCATTTACATTATTTAAGGTTATAAAACCTGTTAATATACACAATGTATAATTATTATTAATATCATTTAAGTATATGAAAATAATTTAAGTAATTAATAATATTAAAATAATTTAATAATATAAAATAATTTATTAAAAATTTAAAATTGTCAATGTTAGGTGTCATCCTTTAAGATAAACTTGTTATAAAAATAATTAAGAATAATAAAGAAAAAGATATGTTATTTAAAATAATCACTTTATGTTAATGAACTATTTCATTTGCATTAAAAATATGTATATTTTATAGTATGATGGCTAATCCAGAAGCTCTACCAAAAATTGATTGGGCATATTATAAGAAAGTTGTTCTGACTCCGGGTTTAGTGGATAAGTTTCAAAAGGAATACGAATCACTATCAATACCATATCCACCAGATAATTATACAGCAGAGATTGAGAAGGAAAAACAGCAAGCTGTAATAATATATTTATCTTTATTTTTCTTCATAAAATTATATTTTATAAATATTGTTATATTAAATATATTACAGGCTAAGGATGTCGAAAATTTTATTCAACAGAAGAATGAAGAAATCGAAGAGACACGTAAAGCTATTAGTAAGCTAGAAAGCATGTTACCATTCTCACAGATGACTTTGGAGGAGTTTGTTGATTTGAAGCCAGATGGAATCATGTTGCCAGATAGAGTCTCAACTTGGCCTCATACTGAAGAAACGCAAGAACATAATATTAAAGATGACGACAAGGAAAGCAGTGGTCATTGAATTTAATCTTAAAATGTATTATAGTTTTATTGTAATGTTCATCATATTATATCATTGAACTACTATGCTATATTATTAAACTGTTCATACAAAAATTCAGTAAGATTCTGATAGTGAAATTAATCAAATATTAAATCCATGGAAAACATAACTTTGTTCATTATGATTATGGTTTTTAAATAAAAATATGCTTAATCTGCAAATAAATCAAACTTGACAACTCATCAATGAATAGTTACGTAAACAAGAAATTTGTAACACATTATATTCAACGTTATTTTACTACAATATTATAACATTATTGTCATTTAGCTTTTTGTTCTTTGTTTTCTTTTCCAAAAAATGCTATTTAATATATAACTCCATATTAATCGATTTATAACTTGGATATATATATGTTAAACACAATATTCAATTTTATAATAGATGTCTTGCAAAGAGTATGTAACATATTTGGATAATTTAAAATCTGTAATTCATAAATGAATGAAAAATTAACTTTATTTTATAATAAGTTCCTGTCATTTTTTATTGGCTGGTGATAAATGATTGTTCATCATTTGTACGACAGATATCCAATAAATACACGTACTAGAAATGATAAGCATAAGCATTTCATAAAGGCTCGTTTTCAAGGAAATTAAGTTCAATCAGAAAATCAATTACGATTACTGATACATTTGTGTTTGATACTAGATACCGAGCCGCATTATACTAAAATGAACAGGAAATAGTAATTAATAATTATTAAAATAAAATATTTCGAATTGTTAAATAATATACAAATAGAAATGGTTGTACATGAAGATAGAAGTAATAAATATATAGTTTGAAATTATAGAAAATATGCAGCTTTTTTAGGATTACACATCAAGAAGTGTGATTACACATAATTATGTTTATTTATAAATATATTTCATATAAATTTCATACAGTATAATTATTTGACAACAGTATCATCGGTAGTTTTCTTAAATTGATTCTAATGGCATTGGTTGATCCAGACCAATTGGACGTCAGAATCGATTGAGATATTTTTTTCAACAATATTTTACATTGGTTCAAGTTTTATTTAGTTGTTTCATCGTTTCATTGCACTTGTAGTTTCATTTCAGTAAGTGTGGAAGAAATATAACGTAATTACATTATACTAACTATAACTAAAAATCTCGATTTATGTATGTGAACAAAAATAATTACATATGTTTTGAATGATTTTTCTTTACAAACGCAGTGGCTGTTCGCTTTGTTAGCCAATTCGTTATTATTTACAACTCGTCTAACGTATCTGATAGTTCAATTATTGTTCTATATATATATTTCTTTACTTTATCTATATATTATACATTTCTTATGCATAATGTTTCATGAATTCGGGGAAAAATTTTAGAATTAAAAATAATAATATCAGAAATGCTAGCCGATGTTTACAGAAAGCATATGAATGAACAGTGTGGAAGGTACCACTCGTAAATAGTGGTTAATCCTTTTCAGTTTCGTGGTTGGTTCTTGTGTATCCACCTAAATAAGTTAATTTAAACGGATATACACGTACGATTTTTCGGAAATTCCAAAAAATCGTTTATGTCTGCATTAGTGTACAAAAATAAGATCATAATATATTTTTGCTAATTTATTTCGTTTCTGTAAAAGTTCTCGATTCTGTAAAAGTTGATCGGTTGTTGTCGATACGGTGTGTACCTACAGATCGAACGCGTGGAGAATCGGTTACGATACCGTTTCATCTTTTCGATATCTTCTTTTGATTATTTTCCACGAAATATTTCCCCCAAAAAAATCAAAGTGTGTTCCATGCAATTACGATATTACTAAACGAAGTTATACTTATGTAAACTGAAATAGATATTATGATAGTTAAAATCACTCTATGAGTTATCGTATCTTTTATACGTAAATAACTTGAACGTTGCTTTTATTTTCGAAATTTTATAATAGATTTTTGATTGTATTGTACAATTTATCTTATTTTTTCATTACTACTTTTCATTTATTTTATGGCTATTGAACTTTGTACACCAAAGATGTAGGTGCGAATAGTGTAACCTTAATTTGTGAAAGTTATTGAATTTTAACAAACTGTACTCAATTATATAGAATACTTATGGTTTTTAATATGTATTGATATAAAAAATTATTATTACCTGTGATTGGTACATTATTAATGCAAAGTGTAGGTCATGCAGATCATCTGCAGAGTAATGTAATGAATAGCTGTGGGAACTCTAATATTAGCACAAAGCTACGTGGATCCAAGTGTTCGGAGATACAGGAAGAATCTGTTAGTAATAATCGAGCTAGTGTGCTGGAGAAAGGCGATGTCAGTGTTTTAAGTGGATATAATTCAAATGATTTCAATACTCCAAGAGGCACTTTGGTCATTTGTCCAAGAAGTACAAACAACTATTCATCTGATCATAGTTTCACTAGATTTAAACCAAGGTATTTTTCTAGTCAATTATCAAAATCTCTTGTGTGTGTTTTTTTTCTTTGTTTTTCTTTAATCAATTGTTTATTATTATAGAATTAGTGGTGCTCCACGCAATGAATTCCGAATGGCTCGGGGAGGTAGCTCTGGAGATCGTGCCAGAGGTGCTTTGCGGGGTAGGGCCTTCAAAAAAACACCATCTATTGAACGTGATTCCAATACAGAAACTAGCTACTATCCTACAGCTAGATCAAAATTTCAAGAATCGCTGAAAAATCAAGAAAATGTCCAAGGAAAATATTATGATGACAAAAGAATAAATGGTTTGAAATGTTTTTTTATTTCTAGAATGATGTTTTTATTGTATTTTAATATACAAGTTGGTATATTATATTACAGAAGATTCTAGAATTTCTAAACTTTTAAGAAGATTGTGCCGGGAAGATGATTATGATCATTTTATGGTATTATGCAAACAAGCACAGGAAGGTATAATAGCGTTTGAAAATCAAAGATATATAAGACGAAATTTGGATGTTATCTGTGAAAGCCTATTAGATGTATTACATACTGGTCTTGGGCCAGAAGCAAAACAACAAGTTGCAAAATGTCTAGGACGTGTTGGATATGCAACTGAACAAGATTTTAAACGGTAAACAAATCATCTAGCAATGTGATAAAACATTTTACATAACATTTTCTGGTTTGTAAATCCACAGATACATGGACTGGGTCTTTAATAAATATTCATTGGAACGGAAAGATGATATAAAGTGCCTTTTAATTAAATCATTTGTTGAAGCTTTTAAATTGGATGCAGAGGCACCAAGGCTAAAAGAATTTTCAGTGGTATTTAAGATTATTTTTCTTGTTTGTCAATTCATGTAATATAAAATAAAATATACTATATTGATCTTTCAGCTAATGATGTCACAATTACAATCAACGCTGGAAAATGTTGATCGATCCGATCTATTGGTAGCAACAGTGGATGCTATATTACTAATAATGGAGTCTTACCCTGAAACATTTTCAAATCATTTCCGTGATACAGTTGATATATTAGTTGGTTGGCATATCGATTCGACACAACAAAAGACAATTGCAGCTTACGCCAGTCGCAGTTTGCAAAGATTACGAACTTTCTGGATAGCAGATCTACAATTTACTTTAACTTTATTAGGACAATTTTTAGAAGATATGGAAAGCTATGATGAAGAATTATCTGTACCGGAGTGTGGCAGAAGTTCTCCCGGAGATGAAGCATCTCCCACACCTAGAGAATGTATTCGACGCATTACGTCTTTAATTTCAGTGTTTAATACAGTTACGAAAAGTATATCTGAGCATTTGAATCCTAATCTTACGCCAAATGTGCAATGGTCATTTTTGTCTGATTGCTTATCAAAAATGTTGAAAACAGTCGTCAAAGCGATCGAATTAGACGACGATGAGATCTGGCTTTCAAATTTTACTATTACACCTGAGATAGCCAATGAATTATTAAAATACGTTAAAAATATAGACATTGCACCATCAAAAAATTCCAATAAATCGGAACTATTCGAAGAGGATATTAATGTGTTTAAATCTTTGAATTTGAATAAAAATGAACTGAAGAATTTAAAGCAGGACATTGAAAAAAATGCTTCAATGAAAGAAAAAGAAACATTGTTAAAGATAATACGACGGATGGAACTAAAAGCCAAGAAAGATGTAGATTTAACAGAAGAAAAGGAAGAGCTAATAATTGTTGCAAACGAATGCGCATTTTTATTGTTAGGTCATCTTCAAAGTCGCATCACAAAAAATCATGACCTACTTTATAAATTTATTGATCTTCAATTGAAAAGGATCAACATCTTCTGGGATGATACAATAATTTCCATGTTAAATACTATTTCAAAAATAATAAAAGAAGTGTCTGCAAATTTGCCTCTGGAACTAGTACATAAATTGCTTGGGAAAGATTCTGCATTACTCAAATTGAGATTCCGTGATTCGATTTCTATCCAAAACGCCAGTCTCGGTGTATATCATAGTCTCCTTAGTCTAAAAAATATTCCATTATTGCAGGAATCATACCGCTACATATTGTCGGATTTGGAAATTGCTTATAAACTTATCTTAACAGATATTGAAAGTTTAGTGACAGATAATCCATTACTTGATGGCATCAAATACAAAAAGAATGACGCAGAAATTGTAGTCACCTTTTTATTAAGAGCTCTTTCTGATATAGGTAAACGTGAATATGTTATAGAATATAGAAATAAGTCTATTTTATATCACTTATTTATTTTATTATATAATGTTTTAGCAAACGCGAGTAATTCTATCATTGGTATGTGGGCATTAAAGCCAAGCATTTTAGAACTGTTGGCAGTCAAGCTAAAACCTTACGATAACAGTTTATCATCAACTAGTCCGTTTTTGCAATATAGCATTTTGTATTTGCTGTACGCGCATTGTTCTAGGTAAAACATGAAATAAAAAGAAAAGATTCAAGTGATATTAATTTATCAGCTTTGATTATACTACGTTTTTATTCTAGATATAATCATTTTGTGCCAAGTTCAAGCTTAATAACTGGTACTATTGCTTGTCGTCCAATAGATATGTTCCCAGGAGCATTGGATGTTCCAACAACATCACCTACTAGCGGTCATCTCTCTATAATTCTAAACTTAATAGCTAAAAGTTATAATGAATGTACGCCAGAGCAAACATTATTGCTTTTATCAACATGGATGCAAGAAATTTGTATACAAGCAGAAAATTACATTGGCATTTTAAGTAAAACAAAGGAATATGAGAATGTTCTTACAAGTCTTGTTACTTGTGGAGCTACTATCGATCGAGATATTTCTATTGCCGTTTGCAATCTCTTTGAAATTTTAATGAGCGCGAAGAATGTTACTTGGAAAGAAGAAATGTATGCCTGCATTGTGGATCTGGTGATGTTACATTTAACTTCGCGAGATGAAATCATACGAGACAAGTATGGTTCGCTATTGACGCAGATACCTTTAAATATAGTGATACCAAAACTCAACAGAGAATGCTTATTGTCAGAAACAAAGGTGAGTTTATGAGATATATATGAAGCTTGATTTACTTAAATTTTTCTTTCTGTTACAGAAATATCAAGGAATTAAAAATTACTCGACCGAATCTTTAATTCTTGCTCAAAGATTACACATGCGGGGAACCAATACTGGAGAGATGCAAGCACAACACTTCAGAACTTATATGGCTTTTTTGTTACAAGAACAATATCTAGATGCATCTGGGTTATCAGAAATATTTACCTTATGTTGGCCAATTGTGTAAGTAAAGATAGACAAAATTAATTAGACAAGTTCTAATTGTACGATTGTATTATATTTCTAGATCTGAAAGCGAGACCACTAAGAAAATGTATCGTTTAGCGCTAATAAATAGATCTTTCTTGTACTTTTGGGCTGGTTTTGAAGCAGCTCAACATTGTGTGACGAATAAACTTCGTACTTCATTAGGAAAGCCTCAAGAAACGTTTACGTCAATCGAAAGCGCTCTGAAAACATTAGCACGTGAGATATCATACAGTTCTGAAACAACAAAGAAAGAGAAACGAGGCTTAGATCATCTATTGAGCGAACATACTCGCGTACGATTATTCATTGAATTTCTTGAACATCTTGAGAGAGTAATACATAATGCGGCGGAAGGTTGCGCCATCGCGCTGTTACCATTGTCGAAACCAGTCAGAACATTCTTTCATACGAATAAATCGACTTGCAAAGAATGGTTGAATCGTATTCGATTGGCATTGTGCGTGGTGTCATTACATTCTGGATTAGCTAGTAGTGCTTTGAGAAATAGTCAGAGATTATTGGAGGATTTAAGTAACAGCGATAACACACAAGGTATCGAATTTGAGAGGGCAACACTCTGTACGGCACAAGCTATGGTAATGCTGGGGGAAGCAGAAGCGTTACAGGGACTTTACGTTTATACCAAGGAGAAAGATCGAAAATTCCCGTGGTTAAAAGCTGCCATGGAAGAAACTGCAAATCGTTACGAATCAGCTGCCGAAGCGTATAAGTTGATTATCGAAGAGCATGTACGAGTTGCGAACAATCGACTTGGAAAAGATGTGGACCAGGATGAGGAAGTGGAAGATATAGCCGATGGTAACAATGTTGAAGGCACTAGTGGGAATGAAGAAGTTTCTGATGGGAAAAGCAAGTCTCTTAAAGCCGAAGGAGACAATCAAGTACTTGGCTTTTGCATGCAACGATTATCTCATTGTTACGAAGCCGTTAGTGACTGGACCCGCTTGGAAGCTTGGAAACAACAAGAGGCTGAAATTTTTGCCCGAGATAAGAATGCCATTCTCAGGAAACAATTATTTACGGAAAACAACGTTTCTCAACAAGCGAAATGTTTGAAAAAATTCGAAGATGGTGAAAATATATGTTTAGATGATCTAACCGATTGGAACTTATTGGATGGAGGAATTGATAAAACCGCAAATTGGAATTGTGCGAAAACGCTGGTTGAATGCGGCAATACTTTGACTAACATTGCGCTTAAGATACACATAAATGAATATAAAGATTACTTTGAGGAAGAAATTGAACGGTGTCGGAAAGTGGCAGCTAAAATTATGGAGGAAGGCCTAAGAAACGTGCCTTCCGAATATCTAAATGAATCTATATTGGTACGATTTTCGGCAGATGGATTGAAAAATATGCTTTCCGGTAAAGAAGAAAATATATTTGAATTATATAAAAGCGAAAAACTTGATCACATGGACTCGAACGTATTGACACGAACTTTATGGTGGTCGGAATATTTTGGCAGAGCGAGGAAGAATAATAATCCTGAAACGCGATTGGATAACAGCGATGTAGCTGATTTAAGATTGCATATTGTTCGAATTGCTAGAAAGGAAGGTAACTTCGAGTTGGCGAAACGGGAGTTACTTAATTATTTGAGATCCGAACGGGAGCTCTGTCAATTTGAAGGAGGCGAACGAAATTACATTAATCCCGATTTCGACCAAGCAACTGACGATGTACTGAAAAACGTGATGCACGTAAAATGGTCAAAGAATAATATACGCGCTTTCCGTGAATTTTCAAAATTATTGTACGATATGGAACGAGTCAATAAAGCGTTAAAAGTATGTAGCGCAACTGCACTTGGAATATCACGAACTATCGTCGACGGAGAGCAGTCAGCTGATTTACGTGAAAACGGTACAATTTTACTTTTAACCCTTGGCAAGTGGATACAGCAAGAAGTGGGCAGCATCGAAAACGGCCAGTTGGAGCAGTTGCTTGAATTCGAAGCTACTCATAACGATGGCTTGATGAATAAGCTATTCGGACCCACTACAAGTTCCATACCTGTTTCGGATATGATAATTGGCAGATTGACGCAACTAGGTGTAAACCAATGTCCCGATTTGCCGCTTGCGTGGTGCAGTTTCGCGAGTTGGTGTTACAAATGGGGAAGAAAGATCGTGGATAATTCAAATTCAGGTCAGTTGACCGACGCGGATAGAGCAACCATAAGAGAATTATTACCATTCGATACAAGTGAATCGGACTTGAATGTAATTTTCTCAATCTTGTCTCAAAGCAAAACAATTCCTGAAGACGAGGGCGAGATAACGGACACTTCCAACGACGTTAATACTTCAGACATGATAGAGAATCAACTACGTAGTGTTCCGATACTAAGTCGTATTAGTGCCGATCGTCTCGTAACATTGGTCGATATATGGAGGCAGGCACAGAAGAGAATTTATTCGTACTACGAACTTTCTGCGAATGCGTATTTCAAGTACCTGCAGCTTGCCGCAATTAAAGAGGCCAACGATTGTGCTACTATCACAGCTACACTCAGATTGCTACGATTAGTTGTGAAACACGCTCTTGAATTACAGAACGTTCTGGAGTCTGGACTTTCCTCAACTCCTACTGCTCCATGGAAAGAAATAATACCCCAATTGTTCTCCAGGCTCAGTCATCCCGAATCTTACGTACGCACTCGAGTATCCGAATTACTGTGCAGAGTTGCGGAGAATTCGCCACATTTGATTACATTCCCAGCGGTGGTTGGAGCGGTTTCTGGCCAGAAAAAGAATTGCGACAAAGTTCTTTATGAGAAAACGGAAACTGATTCTCAAAACGATTTAGATTTTATAGAAGAAGAAGAGGAAATGGGTGCCGAGAATTCTGCCTATCAAGACGAACAAGAGAAATTTATGGATTGTTGTTTCTCACAGCTGGTAGATTGTTTGTCAAACAGGATTCAAGATTCCATTGAACAAGTGAAAATACTTGTCAAGGAATTGCGCCGGATTACGTTATTATGGGACGAGCTGTGGTTAGCAACGCTGTGCCAACATCACACCGAAATTTCTAAACGATTCGAACAACTGGAAATGGAAGTACAGAAAGTGCAAGATAATTCTTGGCTGAGCGCTGAGGAAAAGGATAAGTTAATTGCAGAAAAGCACAGAATCATATTGAAACCAATAGTTTTTATACTAGAAAACCTTTCGGCTATGACTTCTGTCCCAGCTGAGACACCGCATGAAAAAAGTTTTCAGGAGAAGTTTGGTCCTTCGATAGAAGAAGCGATCAGTAAATTAAACAATCCGAAAAATCCGGCGAAACCACAGATTGCGAGTATATGTTTAAAACAACTTGAAGGGAAATTAGCTCAGCGTGTACATAGACGAGCTGCATATTCTCTTTCTATGAATGATATCAGTCCAGTGTTAGCCAATTTGAGAAACACGTGTATTGCTATGCCAGGTGTTGCCGCAAATGATAACAAAATTGTTACCATAGAATCTGTAGATAATAACGTTCAAATATTACCAACCAAAACGAAACCGAAAAAGCTCATGTTCCACGGTTCTGATGGACATATATACACGTATCTATTTAAAGGTCTGGAAGATCTTCATTTAGATGAAAGAATCATGCAATTCTTAAATATATGCAATACTATGATGTCAAAAAAAGGCGATTCGAAGAAAGTATATAGGGCGCGCCATTATTCAGTTATACCACTGGGCCCTCGATCTGGATTAATACAATGGGTCGATGGCGTGACACCTTTATTTGTTTTGTACAAAAGGTGGCAACAGAGGGAGAGCGCAATGCTTAATAAAACTGGTAGTTCTGCGGTATTGAGACCGTCCGAACTATTTTACAATAAATTAACTCCGCTTCTGAAAGAGCGGGGAATCGGTCTGGAAAATCGAAAAGAATGGCCTGTTCAAGTTTTGAAACAAGTTCTAGCTGAATTAATGGCCGAAACTCCCAAGGATCTGCTGGCAAAGTTAGTTCTGTTTTCTTTCCTCAGTCCCATTTACTTATTTCTCCCCTCCGTTGCTTCATTACTGTTTCCTATACAGAAGAATTATTAACAATATTTTCTGATCTTTGTTTATCGTTATAGAGAGATTTGGTGTAATAGTATAAACGTTGGAAGTTGGTGGCAAGCAACCAAAAATTACTCCTACTCAGTGGCCGTAATGTCAATTATCGGATATATCATTGGTCTCGGTGATAGACATTTGGATAATGTATTAGTTGATCTCAATACGGGCGAGGTTGTTCACATCGATTATAATGTTTGCTTCGAGAAAGGCAAGACCTTGCGTGTCCCAGAGAAGGTACCGTTTAGAATGACTCCAAATATTAGAACAGCTCTAGGAGTGACTGGAGTCGAGGTACAATAATTCTTTATATCGTTATTATGATATTATTATTATATATATATATATATAAGTAAAATACGATATCAATTTTTCAGGGTATATTTCGTTTGGCTTGTGAACATACGCTTCGAGTGATGCGTCGAGGGCGAGAAACTTTGCTGACTTTGCTCGAAGCGTTTATATACGATCCATTAGTCGATTGGCGAGCTGGTGCAGATAACAGCATTGCAAGTTACGGAGCCTGTCAAGCTAGAGCACGATGTACAGGAATTGGAAGAAAACAATTGGAACAAGAATTAACACGAGCTATGTTCGCCGTTCGAACAGCAGAAATGCGTGCCGAATGGTTAGCAAATAGGTTGGTAAACTAACAATTAAATTTTATCTTTATTGCAATATTGCTGTATATTTTATCTATATTTTATATATTTATATATTTATATTAATGAATTCTTAGAGACGAGTTGGTAAAGATATTTCCATCACTGTGTCATCATTTGAATTGTTGGGTGGAGGCAACAGAAATCATGCGTCAATGTCAAGACTTGTTACAAGACAGACACCAACAGCTTGCTCTAGTTAAGGAAGCACAAGCAATGGGTCGTAATCATCCACTATACTCCGTAATAAAGCGTTACAATTCTTTTAAAAGAGCACGCGACGCTCACGAGAAAGCAAAAACTGGATTGAAAGAAAAGATTGACGATTGTGAAAAGCAGATTAATATGCATAACGTAAGCTTCATTTATTTGTTCACTTATTTCATTTATTATTTTGACGAGATTAATTGTTGTCTTGTTATTTTAGCTGGCTCTTTCAGCCGTACGAGGTCCGCAATTAGGACAATGGTTAACAGAATTAGGGACATCTACGAATCAAGAGGACCATGTAGTTTTTGATCTTGTTAAAGAATTCTTACAGAATGCTGGCCAAAGTCAAATGATACTTCAGTGTGAGCAATCAGAGAATGAATTAACACAATTGGCTACACAGCAATCTATTTTAATACGAAATTGTTTGGATCTATTGAGTCAGTATTCGGCAATTTGCAGTCTATATCCATTAAGTAACATGTCACAACATCGTACCGTACTTTATCACGGTTGGGCTAACAAACTTTTAAACACTGGATGTGTTGAAACGTGTCGCGAAGTTATGATGCAATTTGAGAATACTTTTGATCCAATTAAAAGTTCCAACAATCAGCAAGTTCAACAAATAATAGCGTTCTCTTATCAAATGCAAGCAATTCTAAACGATGCAAATGAAAAATTAAAGAAAGCATATGAGAGAATGGTATCAGAGGGATTGCCAGAATCAATCACTAGAATAGAAAAAGCATATGGAGAATCAAGAGTGCAGATACAGAGTTTCCTAAGACGAGAAAAAGGAGCAGAAAGAGCACTTGAGTGTGTTAATATAACTGCACTCTGTGCTTTAAATAAGAGATATTTAATGATGGAAGGTGCTGCTAAATGTGCAGGAGATTGTCTAGTTGATCTTACGTCCAGAGAAGGAGATTGGTTCTTAGATGAAATGCGTTTAATGTCATCTTTAATTGCCGAGCTAGTTAGCTTGATACCTGAATGCCATAAAACTAACAATGATCCCAAGATATCTCTCATATTAAAATGTTTGAGAGGATCCGATTGTATCTATAAGGGATTGCAGGAACTTAATTACAATTTTCATACGATCATTTTACCTGAAGCAATGAAAACAATTATAACGGAAGAGCCAACTGTGATTAGAATGATAGGAGAGTTAACAGAAATAATTGTATCATCCGGCATACCACTTGGTGAAATTTTAGGACAACTGGAAATGCATCTGAGATTTACTGTCATGGAAATGGAAAGTCCTCATGCAATGATACAAAATGTCGTAAATAACATGAGGCTGAGATTCGAAGCAATGTTATCTCGACCTGCTGAAATTCAAGAACCGAATCAAGATGAGACATTGACGCCTGGTCAAATGCTTTTAATGGGTTTCAATGGCTTGTTTGAAAAGCTTCAGATGGAAGGTAACGCGTTAATCGCTACTTTGAGTACGCTGGATATTCCTCCATCCTGGAGAAAAATTGATCAGATTCGAGAAGCAAAGGAAATGTCTGCGCCAATATTCAACAAAACAGCTTGTCAGGTGTTAGAGGATATATTTTTGGTTAAACGTTTGCATACCATACAGGAATTTTTCATGATGTGCAGAGATATTGCAACTGCGTTTAAAGGCGGTTTAGCAAATATTTACGATGACGAAAGACTAAATAAACCAATAAGAATCTTTACAGCGGATTATGTATCACGACAATTGCTCGGCGTTACTTCTCAAACACTAGCCATCGCACTCTGTTTCTTATTACAAAGAATGGGTTTGAGCGTTACTACCGAGATCGAGCAGAGAGATATCGGAGCTGAAAGTAAAGTTTCAATAGAAGAATTATGTAGAAAGGTCGTCGATTTGTGTTTGAAAAGAGGTCTCTTTTCTGGGTCTGTTCTTGCTCAAGCTAGTGCGCTCAGTAGCACTCTCGAAAGTGCTTGGAGAAGAAAACAAAGTGCTAGATTTGCTCAACAATGTGTAGAAGTAGCTAGGGCTAGCATGCAGAGACTTCAGCTACAGCTAACAGCTCATCATTGGTTGCACGAAGATAGTTTACTGATGAGATCAAATGTTAATTTAATGAATCCTTTGAGTGAGTTTCTGTCGGGATATTTTTCAAAATTGTGCAGTTTTTTTTTGCTAGATATTTATATTTCTAATTTTCTTTTCAGATCGTTCTGGATTTATGTTAGAACTTCGTAAAACAGCTACAACACTGTCTGCTTTGCAGTCTCGAGTATGCGAGGCACGAGACCAGCAACAAAATCTTGTTTCTAGTGCAGTGCAACGATTGAAGTGGGCTGCTGGAGCAAATCCAGCTCTTGGAGAAGTTATGTCTGCATTTGATAACGCGGTGCTCTTGTCTTGCGAAAAATTAACTCGACAACATAATCTTGCGTCTAGTGTTATCAATACTTGCAATTCTATATTACATTATGAGGCTTTAAGAACTAGAACATCTGAAAGTGTGACACACGATGCGAATTTCGTTAAACTAATCAAGCATTGGGAAGAGAGCTGCATTTTAACAATGAATCTAAACATAACAGTGACCGCAATTGAAGAGAGTCTAGTAGAATTGTTACATATGGAAAGCAACGTTGATATAAACTGGCTAAAGCAGGCCGAAAGGTTCATTTCCGAGGCAATACTTGATGTTCAAAAGAAATTGCAAGAAAAACAGGAAGGTCTGCTCTCAGCTCAGGAACGTTTGAGGGAACAAGTATCAAACCTGCAAAGTGTACTGACCGAACATCATAGACTAATGTCAGACGTTCGGATATTGTTACGAACTATGGTAAAACAAGAGAATATTGACGGCTTACAAGAATTTCTTTCTTCGTACCGGTCTTTTACTGAAAGCATATCGGCTATCGTAAAGGAACTTGAATCTGAAAATTTAGATGTAAATAGAGGGAGAACGATTAAAGAAGAATTGGAGAATATGACAACTATAGTACCAAATTTGTACAACGAGTTATTAGAGTTCGCCAATGAAAGGAAAATAAACTCAATGAAAATGTCTGAGAAACAAAAGGATATAGATAAAGAAAAAGAAAGAGAGGGCGAAACTGAAATTTCGATAATTAGTTCAATAAAGAAGAAAGGGAAATTGATGAGGCAGGAGGGTATATGTTACAGTCCTAGGAAAGGAGTTCCACCGACCCGAGATCCAACAACAGGAAAAGGTAAGCTCATTGAATTTTCCAGGGATTACATAATTTCTGTTTCTCATTTTTATTTCCTTCGTAGCTGTACAAGAGCGGAACGCGTATGCGCTGAATGTTTGGCATCGCGTACGAATGAAGTTAGAAGGATGCGATCCTCATCCAACAAGGAAGTATACAACGGCTGAGCAAGTGGAATACGTGATACGCGAAGCTCAGAGTACTGATAATTTAGCCCTTTTGTATGAGGGTTGGACACCATGGGTCTGAACGAAAACGGATTGACGCAATCGCGTCGATGGTTTAATGCTCGTTACACACGGTACCCGAGTTCGTACCGTTCTTCGCTCCATGCTCGACGGAGTTAGCTCTCTGTCCGACCAGGTGTGAAGTACACCTTCGTTGTCACCTGGAAGAGAAAGTTCATGTCTGTAAGGAAGCCGTTTAAGTTCGGCAGCGCGCACTTGCATACAGAGAAATTCCAGCGCGATTCACGATCGAACTTCGATTCTGGCACTGATTCTATGATTATCTCAAAAATCTCGTTAACAACGCGTACTATGCGATCTACCAAGGTTTCTTCTTTCCTATTTTCTGTCTACGTAACCTTTCCTACGTAACTGTTTTCCTTTTGATCAAAAGTAGATTAATATGCAATAGTCGGAAAACGAAAAGGAACAGAACAGAAAGAAAAGCGCGCACTGCTTACTGCAAACAAAGTAACAAAAAATCCTTTGACAATTAAGTTAAAAGATAAAAGGAAGAAAATATAAACCAACGTTAAGTATGATTGACTCAAGTCAGCCCTCTTATTACATATATTGCTTGTATGTTTAAATGTCAATGTTAGATTTGGGAAAAGCATAGAATCTGCCGCATCTTTAAAATGATAAAAAATAACGACAGAATGATTTGATAATGATGCGGAGAAGCTCGATAACGAATAACGCGACGATGGTGACACTGCCACAGACATTCGTTCGAAAGAAGAGCCCTTTTTTTTTAGTGATTACTATTATTTATTTATTTTAGTAATCTCTATTATTTATTTATTTTAGTAAACGTACCAATTTGGTTAAATTTGTAATTGTAAATTAATCTTGGAAGAAAGAATGTGTTGCCATTCGCGAATGATTAAACATACATTTGGAAATTCAGCGGGACCAAGAACGATATGTCACTGTCGAATCGCGTGCAAGATAAACAAAAGTATCGAGGTACAGAATGAAAAACAAAGTGTATGTTTCATGTTTGTATTCGCTACTCGATATTAAGGTATCATGATCAGCACTCTTTTTTTTTTCCTAAAGTGGGAGTACATGTTTTTCCGAAATTTCAATTGATAATTGCCCAAATTATACAAATTTACATAAAATTTATCGTAAGTATTATTTTTTGTTTGGTAGAAACTGTCATATTAATTCTATAAATTTGTTTCACCAAATATTATACAACAATTATAATAATCGGTCAACATGCAATAGTTTAAAAAAAAGGAAATCTTGCGAAAAATATTACAGATGCAAATCAAAACTTGTTCCTTTTCATATTAAATATAAATACGTGGTCATTGAAAGCATCAGTTAATCATAGCATTTTCTCTTTTTTTTTTGAGAGGGGAAGGGGGAAGAAGGAAAGGTCATAGTTTATAACCAATAAAGTTTACGATATATATAAAAATTATGAAAAAGATGTATTCCCTTCAGTTTAATTACACTTTTGAGAAACAATCATGTCTATTATTCATTTACTTCAGATTCCTATTTAGAAATTACATTGTGATTTTTCTATTCTATCTTTCCTGATAGAATAAATCATGTTTGAGACTTTTTCCAAGGTATTCTTTTTAATTTTTTATGGTACTTTCCTCTTTATTTTACTTCAGTTTTCATAAATATCCTAAAACATACATTATTTCTTGTCCCAAGTTCTTACCACCCTTTCCCTTAATTCTGTCGAGATTATAAATCACTGTTGCATCAGAGAGAGTGAAACCATAAAAAATACAACTTTCAATAAAGGAACAATAAATCTTTTTTTAATAAATTATATCATAATTTGAATTCTATAATACAATATCGAAAATGTTAAAGTTATATTACATTATATATCACGTTGTTTTTCTTACTCTATTTGTATACAGTGTACATGATTAATTCCTACGACTAATCAAAGAACCACCCAAATTTTACATTGCATATATTGGAATTTATATTCAAATATTAACGTGATTACTATTTATCGAAAGTCTAGGACATGAATCATCTGTAAAATTTATCAAAGCAAAAATTTCGATTTTCACATAAGCATTCCCTGAACATGTATAAACGAAATTTCATATTATTTCATTAAATTTGAAACTTAAATCACTAAGTTATATTAAGATGTAATTTGACATCAGTCTCTTTCTATACATTATCTTTTTTAAATGATATCAGCAACTTCGTTGCGATAACATGACATAGTATCGTTGACAAAATTATTACCGAATCTAAATTGTCATAAATTGTTAACTCTTTTATGGTTTTACATCTATTATGTTGGCTCAATCAATAAAGAAATTTTATCTATAAAACATTTCAAGTATCTCGCTTTAAAAGTTGATCAATTTGTGTTTTGTACATTTCTTTGACATCTTGTAGGTCCAAACGCAGTTCCTGATTCTCTTCCATTTTTTCACCGTACATTTGTAATAACGCGTCATATCTAGTTTGTATTTCTTGTAAACTTTCGTTTAAAACTGCAACATTCATAACCTTAACATTTAATTCTTCGATCTTTAAAGTTAATGTTGATAATTCTGAATTTAGCACGTCTCTTTCTATGTTACGCCTCGATAATTCCCACTGAAGTTGTTGTATTTCACCTAAAAATTTAAAAATTATATTAATATAATTATTAATATTATAATAATTAATAATTAATTATAATTATATTAATACTATCAAATATCTAAATCAAACATATATAGTTTATCACTGATAGGCATATAAACTCGTACCATCTTTTTGCTTCAATTGAGCTTGTAAATTCTCAAATATAGAAGTACTGCTAGATCCTGCTCTGATAGTATCAAATGCTACTGTATAGCTTTCAGATTTGTTTTCGGTAATGGGATTACATAACTGAAATATAAAGATAAAATTTTTCAATTCTAATTCTGGTAAAAAAGAAAATAAAGAAGGAATAATCACTATATATAGTGACGCATTACCGTCCAAATACTGTCTATTTCTGTGTTCACGGAATCTTGTTCTGTGCTAGGGGTAGGACTAAGCCGTTCGTTGTCTTCAATATTTTGTTGTTCTGACATTGCATGATTTTTTCTCCTTTCTGCATCCGTAGCTGCTTTTTCTACAGATAATTTATTTTCTAATGCAATAATTTCTCTTTTTAACTCCATTATTTCTGAAGTATGAGATTGGTCAAGTGTTTCTATCGTTTGTCGTTGCCTAGAAATAGCTATGTTATCATCGACTTTTTTATAAAGATTGATAATTTTTCTTACCTCACATTTTGTTCAGTGAGCTTTTCCTTTTGTATTACCAATTCATCGTATAATTCTTGTAACCGCGTTCTTTCATTTTCTTTGGCAGTAAGCTTAGTTTCTAATTGAGATATTTTAGATTTTAAATTAATATTCTCTTCCTTAAGATAACGATCCGTCTCAAGTAAATTTTCTATTTTTGTCTGCAACTCGATATTCTTGTCTGATAATGCCTTTTCTTGTTTCATGAAACTATTAGTTTTGTGTAATAAATTTGCTTGAAGTTGTTCCAGTTGTCGCAGTAAAGGTTTTGTAGCTGTTGATACAGATTCTGAAAGTTCTTCGCTTCTAGCTTCAGCGGCTTCTAAGCGTTTTAGTAATTCACTATTTTCGTGCTTTAAAAATTCTTCCTTTCTACATCGAATATCAGAAATAACAGATATAATAAAAGACAAAAAAATAAATACATCGAACACTTATTAACAATTAGGAGAGAAGAAAATATCTCGCAGAGAAATACTTACTTCACATGCATTTCTTCAGATTCTCTTAATTTGATTTTTAATTCCTCTACTTGCACAAGTAATTGACATGATTCTCCAGCGTTAGTTGTTGCTTCTTTTAATTCTGCTTCTGTTGCAGTCAAAATTTTCTTTGTTTCAGATAACTCCCTGAAATGTACATTAATTGTACGCAATTACAAATCATAAATAAACATTAAAAATACTTTTACCAACATTTTTGTTATTTCCAAATTTTTTTTATAAGTTTCGGTATTTTGCATCGCATTTTCTAATTGTTTTTGTAACGTTGTAACTTCCTTTTCTAGTGTTTTTGTTCGTGCTGTTAATGAATAAACAGCATCTATCTGAGATAGTTCAACTTCTTCTTTTGCACGTAACGATCTTTTTAAACGTTCTAATTCTGAAGTTTGTTCTTCTATTTGCTCCCTGCAAATGTTTCATGTTGAGATATCGTACTAACTTATATTTGTCATTCATTTGCATTTATTTTTTTATTATTAATAAAAACAAAAAAAAACAAAAAAAACAAAAGGAATATACGTACTTTTGACTTTTTATTAAAGCATCATTCTCTTTTTCCTTAACTCGCAATTTTTTGATAATGTTACTATGTTGAAGTTGTTGTTTGCTCAATTTTTCACCTTCCTCTCGTAGTTCCTTAATAATTTCATCTTTTTCCGCATTTAAAGTAGATAGCTCTTGAGATGACAGACGCGTAGCAGCTTCTACTTTTAACTGTTCCAAATTCTTTCTTAGTGAATCTCGTTCCCGTATCGCTTGCTGAAATTTTCTTTCTAAGGCAGATAATCGTTGTGTATATTCATCAGTGATTTGATTTAAGTTTTGGCTTTGTTCTGCGTGTTTCTCAAAATTATCAAGTTGCCTATATGAAATACAAAAATAAAAATGTAAGAGTACGCCATAAAAATAAATGAGCAATTATGCATTGTTTGATTATTACGTACTTCTTCAAAACTTACTTCTTCAAGTTGTTATTTTGTTCGTGTAATTCCATATTCATTCTACTAACGTCAATGAGTTTCGATTCTCTGGCTTCTAATATTTCCGTCATCTCTTGTATACGTTTTAATAATTTTTCTATTTCAACATTCATTTCATCAGATCCTACGCTGATTTCACTCAACTCCCTGGAATGTCCTTTAGTTTTTAATGTTCTCATTAAGAGATCACAGCCCTTTGTTGATTGCAATTTTTGTCGTGATTGTGTAGAACTCGAATCACCATTTGGACTTTGTTACAACAAACAAAAATTTGCTATTATATTTATAACAGTACACTATATAGAATGCGTTACATAAAGTATAAATTATAGATAATTGCTATTTTGTAATTACACCTATACCTGGATATAACTTCGATATCGCTGGAAGTGGTGGTTTCTAATTCATCCCCACTAGTGTGACCACTGGTTTGATCAGAACCAATTTTAATCAGATCGGACCGACTGTAATAAATGGAATAAAATCTATATTCTTAAAATAATTAAATATAATTTTAATGGAATGAATTCTTCGAATATAATACCTTTCTGATGAAATAGGCGAATTTTCTCGAGGTATTTCCACACCTTGTACTTCTGCTTCGATGATTTCACCACCTTTTTCGATCATTGCATCTTCTAACATTGTCTTTACATAGGAACTAGAATTCAAGGGAGCTTGTAAAATTCTTTCCTCCGATTTATACTGCGGATTTTCTTCTGAACTCTCTATCAATGTTCCTTCACAACTTGAATCTGTTGAAATTAAATGTTGATCTGAAACTTCGAGCATTTCTGATTTAAATGAATGGATAATTTCACTGGCAGAATAACGTTCCGTTTCTGTCGGTTCTATAGTGGAATTCATTAATCGATCGTAACTTTTTCGGTCGGGTTTAGTTTTTTGATCTGTTCCATCAAAATATTCAGGCTTACGAATTGGTTGTGTTGTAATTGCTTCAATTGGCAGATGTAAATTATGCTTTTCGCTTGAAGAATCTAGACTCAAATTTAGTCTTGTATCTGTACTAACTTTTTTCGACGTTAACTTTTCATCTGAATATGAATCCTGCATGCTTTCACTTGTACTAAGATTTTCTGTTTTATGTGCTTGTTCTTTCTGCTGAAATGTTTCTAACATTGTTACAATTGTACTTTCTGATGCAGAAGTGTAAGAATCTTCTGCTAAATTCGCTTCATCTCTCTCATCATCAGTGTAAGGTAATACTTCTATGCTTTCTGGGGAAACTTTCGTTGAATAGCTACTGGATGCGCTTTTATATAAATGCGATCCCATGCCTTGATATGTACCAGTAGATGGTGTACTATCCATGCTACTCATACATAAATTTTCATGTGATGTCTTGATTTCATCCATTGGAGGTTCGTATGAAGAAATATTAGAAAATGATGGATTTATTTCATTTTCTTTATTCATAATTTGGGGGACATTGATATCATCCCAGCAAGGAGTCACTGTATCGTCTCTATCTAAAATAGATGATGAATCAGAGTGTCTTTGCTCTATGGGAGATAAATAGGGACTGGTATCACTTTTCCAATCTTCTAATACTTCCACTCCAGAGCTTGGAGATGTAACCATACTGTCTGGTAATACTTCTATCGACTCAGAATTAACTTTGGTACCCTTGGTAGACGGACTGCCATCCAATTCTGGAGTCGTGGTACAATCAGTGTTAGATCGGGAACCCAGAATTTCAATGCTCTCTGAACTTTTTTTGTCATTTTCTGGAGATACAAAAGATAATCTGTTTGATGTAGAAACAGGTGAATCTAAATCATGCTCACAAGGTTCTTTTTTTTCAAATTCTGACTTTTCTTCTTCCTCTTTAATATCAGTATCTTTTTTTTCCTCTGAAGGATATTCAATTATTTTAGGACAATTATTAATGTTGTCATCCTTGTCAAGAGTTACACTTATATCAGTTGTTTCAGATAAAGGAAGTTGCTTTAAGTCATCAGATGTACTAGAAACATCTTCACTAGAAACAGTTTGATCCTGATCATGAATTTCTTTTTCTTTGTAATTTTCTGCTTGTCCAGACTTTTTCTTAGGACTTAAAGATTTACTTTTGTAATCTTCTGAGAATGATGATGAAGATACAAGCTTTTTGTTACTTTCAGTGGGTGTATTTTGTAAGGATTTAGACTGCATAATTGGTTTAGTACTGTGTCCTGGCTCATTAAATTTAGGTGATTCAAAGAATGACCCAGTAAAACTACCCCATATACTGCTTGTGGCTTCTTGTTTAGGTGTTTTGGGCTTATCATGTGGTTGTACATTTTGATGAACATCACTCTTTATTCCCCATGATGCAAAAAAGTCTGATGTATCCTCTACATGGCTTCCCACTGGTTTTTGATCCTCATCTTTAATATCGAGTGCCTTATCGATTGTCTTCTGAGCTTCTTTTAAAGCAGATTTGGCCAAATTGGCAAATCCAGTGGCATCAAACCAGCTCATTCTTTATTGTATCTAAATAATATGATCATAATAGATATGAATAAGAATGGATATTAAAATAAAAAATAAAGCATTACTGCATTATAGCATTAAAACAAAATAATTTTATTGAAAAGAGAATAGGAGAATAAAATTAGAGGTTAGAATGTAGATATGTAACAATGTTTATAAATTATATATCACATGTAGACTGAAGAATTCATGCGTACTGAATTAAGAAAGAATCAAAAATAATAATCGAATCAAAATAAGATAAGAAATTATTGTTTATACTTTTCTACTAAAAAGGCAAAGAACCCAAGTTTTTACAACTGATTGCGTTTAAATATAAATTATATTTAAAATTATTAACGTTAGTATATTATAACGTCATTTGCATAAACAAAATATATTGAATACCAGATAATGACAGTAGCCATGCAAGAGGAAAAAAATTATGTTTACTTGTAAGTTTACTTACTTGCATATCGTCTTAAAAAATTTTTGCAATGTATAAAACTAATGAATCACCAAAAAATAAGAAGTCGCTTGTAGAATGTTTTTGAACTATTGTTACTGTAAATTCTAAGTACTAATTGTTATACTAGAACGAAAATACTGATATGCGCATGGTGACATATTATGTAAATGTTTTTTTTGCATAATGCGTTACAACAATTAAATATACATATATGTTACTTTGACAAAATTTATATGTCCACAGGAAAAATACCACAAAAGATGCACATAATTCATTGGTTGCTCAAGAATAATAGTACATTTCCATTTGCATAGTTTTAATTTCTTTATAATGAGCAATGACGAATCACTCGAACTTTTTCGAATGTCTAATACTACATAATTGTATTTTGACGTGTCAACAAAGTGTTCACTACGAAGTATATTACTTAGGTACATGTATGCGTACGAATGCACGAACAGTATCAGTGTTTTCAATCATAGAAAATTCTTATCTTCGTAGGAGCAATATGTTTTATTACTAAGGTTTCTCTTGCAATATCATAAATTGCAAATTGTGGTTAAGTAAACGCAATGTTTTACAGTATAATATATATTTTTTTTTTAAATCCAATAATAAAATTCCTGAAAACTATTCTTAGAGAGAAATATTTCCAATAGCTCCAGTGGCGCAATTGGTTAGCGCACGGTACTTATAAGACAGTAAGTCGTGAGCAATGCCGGGGTTGTGAGTTCGAGCCTCACCTGGAGCAGTTTTTTTTATTTCTAAACGACTCTTTTAATAAATTCATTGTATATTGTTAAATGTTTTGAACGGCTCCGACAAAATTACTACTTAAAAAATACAAACACACGACTTACGTAAATAAACTTCATACTATGAAGAAAATAAAAACCAAGGACATTTACAAGTTTTGCTTGTTTTTATTAATCTGATTTTATTTTACGAAAATCGAGTTGGCAAATACCACGCGTCTAATTCTGTACAAAGTTTTAACCCAAGCGTAAATAACGCAGCAGATGCTAATATGCTTCTAATAAACGGATCGTTTTTTAAAGCATGAATGATGCAGGAAAGAGAACAAGTGCAGACGTCTTCAAAGTAACCCGAACCCTTAGTTAATAAATAATGATCTACGACTCTTTGCCTTTCTTCGAGTTTACGTATTCTACTTTCTGTAGAAATCATTAATGTTTAACAAATCATCTTTCATGTCGACAATAACAACAAATAACAAAATATACTTGCTTTGCGATATACGTCGAGGACAAGACGGATCGCATTCATCTTTGAATATCGCAAGTTCTCTCTCATCGATATCATCGTGCTTCGATGGTTCTCCATCTATTTTTTCCTGTTCTAATTTTTCATCTTCTAATCTTTCACGTTCTAATTTTTCACGTTCTAGCTTTTTATGCTCTAATCTTTCACGTTCCGGAAGTTTGACCACCAAATCTTCTTCCCTTATAGTAGGTTCATCCATGATATCGGTTTCGACCACCTTATCTTCTCCTACATTAATAATTTTCCGATACGTTTTCAATTTCATACATATCACAATTGAAGACAATAAAAAACATTTCTCGTTTTTTAAAGTACTTCTATTGAGTCACTAAGTGATATAAGACAAAGAAGACAGAAAATCAACAAGAAATTTTCCCGTGTTATTTACCTTCAACGGTCCATTGCGTTGCAGATTCTCTTTTAATTTTTCTATATTTTGAGGGATCCTCTCTATCTGTCACTTCATTTACTGAGTCCTCGAGCCTTCTATCTGTTTCTATAGGAAGACGATAATAATTCACATCAGGTGCTGGCTTCTTCTCCAAATCTGCATCAAATGCTGCATTAAATTCTGGTTCCTTTTCCAAATCGTCATCCCGTTCAACCTCCTTTGTCCTTATAAATTTTTCATCGATAATGTCTAATCTTGGATCGCGAAGTTTATCGGCTAGATCGATTAAATCGGTTTCCTTCGAAGGAAAATCTTTCTTCAAAAGCCATGGAACTTCGCTGGCTGGAAGCTTCGTCGGTTATTTTGGTGCAGTAAGATAAGCAAAAATGTTTAAAACAACGGGTAACATATTTAAATTATACCTATTTTTTTTAATTGACTCTTCACCAGAGGACACCATGGCTCGCATGCAGGCATTTAGATTAATTTCAAAAAATCGTTTTTAAAGACTATAACAGATCTGCCAAAATTTACATACTTTCGATCGAGAAATCGATCTTGTTTGACAGTTTGCTACCGTTATTAATGCTTGACAAATGATTTTCGTGTATTCATTTATCTTGTTGCTTTTTCTCTCTAATTTAAGAAAGTATTTTTCACGAAAATGTATCCGACATCACTGAAAGGAAGTTGCATTCGTGAAATGAAATGTTTGGATGAAATATCTAAGGTATCTAGTTCGGTTAGTTGCGTGATATCAACCTTACATTGTTGTGATGGAGATTGTATGAAAGAGGAGGAAGTAAACATCTCCATCGAAGAGGATGATCTATTACCTTCGAATTATATTGATAGAAACATTTTTGGATTATTAATACCTGCATTGGAAGAAACACTTATTGAAGCATCTAAACGGAATGTTCTTCGAGTATTGTAAAATTTTTTATTGGATTTGATAACAATTTGAATTCGAAATTTACCAATTCTTGTAACTACATCTATGAGAAATTATCAATGAGTTATGACAGGTTCAGAAGTGTTGTTTTAATGGTCTCGATAATATCGCGGAGATTCTATGGAATCGTAATCCACGTCGTTCAAAAATATATTCACCACCTCTAAATGTATTTGATATACCACCGTTTAAAGAATATTTACATTCACAGTAAGCGAACAAATTTCAATAGTTCTGTGCAAAAATTAATAATTTTCAGTATTTTTCATTTATTTCATGTTTAGTCCTAGATCTTATTTCCCAAAATCTTGGTTGTGGTCTGAAGATGAAGCTGCATTGCATATACAAAGATATGTTCGTGGCTGGCTTGTAAGAAAACGTGTGGATGTTCAAGAAATGAGGCAATTTTGGAAGGTTAGTAATTAAAATACCGATATGTATATCTTTATATTGTTTCTCATTATTTATTCTAAAATTATATTATAAGTTATATTACAATTATGTTATATTGTTTTGCATATAATCCACAGGATATTGCAGTTAATAGTTTCTTTGACAAAAAAGAGAATTGTATTGTGCAGTCTCAAAGACTTTTAAGTATGTTCTATTTGGAATTTATGATGATAATGATATTAATTCATTTTATTTGTTTGTAGGTGATGTACAAGATAATGCAAAGCATGAAATAATTGATGAAGATTTGATTCGTTGTGAAAAATATTGATCAATGGCATACACATATGCTACAACGCAAAATTAAAGGAAAGACGCACGTTTTAGATGTAAAAGTATATTAAAAAGTTATAATTGAGAAATACTTAATCTTTATTATTAAATTACAAGATAAAATGCATATTGAATCATATTCATGATGCATTCTGTTGTTTAATATTCTCATACAAACTAGGGCTTGCTGGCTGTCCTAATCCTATTTTTATTTCAGTTGTAGGAGCTTCACCTTCTTCAGCAATTCTGTAACTTTTAATACCCAGAGGACTATATATAAGTTTTAATTTTATATCAGCTACATCTTTTCCTTGTTCTTGTGCCTCTTGTATTAACATCTCTTCCAAAAGAGGAGGAAAGTTTGTTATTTGTGGCATAATTCTTAGTTGTGGTGTTTCAGTGGCATTTATATACTTTGCTTCTTGATCTTTGGGAACCAACATAAAATCTGGCTTATAAGTTGTTCCATCCATTTGCACTAGTATAGGAGATTTTTGACCTCTAAAAACTCTTTCTACTAATACTATCACTTTTCGTGGATCCTATAAGATGTACTACTTTCAATAATTTGTTTATTCCATTATTCCATTGATAAACATAAAAATAGAAGACATTATACATGCGGATTTTTTGAAACATCTGGTAATCCAGCAACTTTCAGTATCTTCATATAGGATATTTCAGGATACCTTTGTTGAGTACCTCGTATTACGAGTCTACCTACACCATGATTTTTCAAATTTCCCAATATTTCCCATAATGGTTTGCCTTTGAGGTAATGTGTCCGTCCAATATATTTTATTACCATGTTTTCTACAACTAGTGTGTTTTTATGTTTGATATAACAAACTAACCTCTTCTTCACAGAGATGAGGTTAGGTTACATATTCCATCGATCAATGTTACACTATATAGAGGTTAAGAATTAGTGATTAAAAGACAAAATAGCCTCGACACTATATGAGACATCATGTTTGGAATACCAATCTCGAAAAATTTAAAGTATTTTACGCTCTCCGCGATTTATCCACATAAAAATTATATTTAATTCAAAAACTAAAAATAATATTGTAGCATTATTTTTATTATGAAATAATTAATATCGAACGATGATAGCATTGATTCATGTCTAGTTTAGTCTTAAAAAAATTAAATTTATTAAATTGTAACTTAGTGTAATTGTAAAATTATTAAAAATTAAAATCGCAGATATGAAATTATAGACGTAATTTTTTTCCATTTTGCAGATATACAAGCATAATTTACAGATTTTTGTAAAAATTTAATGAATGAAAAGAGTTAGGGGAAGGAAATTTTTATTTTTTCTTTCTCTAATGCAATATATTTTCGTTCGAAATACGCGCGCAATAATTTTAAACTTTTGTAAAGATTACAGCGCCAATGAAGTAGTAAAATTTCACAATTACGTATTGCGATTCTCAAATCGATGTCTCGTATAATCGATCTAATCGATTTAATACTCGGATGTAACGTAAAACCGTCAGTTATAGACGGAAACACGGCAAGAACGGAAGCAAAAAGCTATTTATTCAGAAATTGTCAAGTAAAGTCTACTGGTAAGGTACGAAATTATAACAATTTAAAATATTGACAATCTTTCATCTAGTGTATGAATATTTTCGATCCTTTTTGTGAATTTCTCATGAATTTTGTATATTTGATTTAGATCAAAATTTTTATATTTTATTTTAAGTTATTATTTCATCTGAAATGCGCGATTACAGCGCCTCAACGGTGAAATATGCAATATACTTCCTACGATTCTCGAAATAATCGATATTTCGCATGATCGATTTTTAAACGGAAATCATGGCGGAAAAAAGCACGCTTCATCTGTAAAGAAGAAATGTTATCTAGAAAAGTCATCCAGGAAGAAGTATTATCCAGAAGTTCTCAGGTTTAAATCAATAGTAATTTATTAGTAATAATTAATGGGTTTAAATCAAAATTTAAAAAGGTTTAAATCAATAGTTGTGTTTATGTTATAAATTTTTAATATAAAATGCATTTTTGGCTTCAATTCAAGGTAAAATTTAACCAATAATTATTACATATGATCTTCAACAATTAATGAAATAATAGCATATAAACATTTAAAACAGAATATACAATGTTACAATTATTTATAATTTTATATCAAATTTAATTTCAGTTCTAACTAATATTGTAACCTGATGACTAACTTTTCATTATATATATATATGTTTTTACTTCTATTGTACATTTTCTACTCATTTGTTGATTCTTTAACCTCATATTGCATAATTCTTAACAATTCCAACACTAAATTCAACAATAATTTAGTAAGGATGTATGTACATATTTAATAACCTAAATAACAGTTATTCTGTGTAATATAATAAAATTTCTCATGTCTTAGTTTAAAGTATTGAAAATTTTTTATCGAGTATGTGAATATTTTTGTTTTTTTTACAGAATTTCTTATGAATGTTACGTATTTGATTTAGATCAGAGGTTTTTTTATTTTTATTTCAAGTTATCATTTCGTGCGGAACGAGCGATTACAACGCCCCAACGGTGAAATACGCAATATACTTCCTACGATTCTCGAAATAATCGATATTTCTCATGATCGATCTTTAACTGGAAATTGGCGGTTAAAAATGGCGGAGAGTAGCACACCTCACCTGTAAAGAAAGACGTATTATCAGAAAAATTACCCTGAAAGTGTCACCCAGAAGTTCTTAGGTAAAAATTTAAATCAATAGTTGTTAGATTTGTATTTATGTTATTAATTTTTAATATAAAATGTGCATTTTTGCATTTTTATGTTCAATTCAAGGTAAGGTTTAACCAATAATTATTACATATAATTTTCAACAATAAAAGAAATAATAGCATATAAACATTTAAACAGAATATACCATGCTACAATTATTTATAATTTTATATCAAAATTTAATTTCAATTCTAACCAGTGCAAATATTGTAACCTTGTAATTGATTAATTCATTGTTTTATGTATATATATAGAAGTGAATCTATAAAGGTATATCTATAAAGATATATAATAAAATACGTGTGTATGTATATATATATATATATATATTTTATTATATACCTTTATAGATTCACTTCTATTATAACATTTTCTACTTATTTGTTGATATTTTAACTTATTATTTTAACTATACTGCGTAATTCTTAATAATTTTTATATTAAATTTAACAATAATTTATTAAGAATGTACGTATTTAATAGTTAAAATAATAATTTTACTGTGTAATATAATAGAAGTTTTCATTTCTCACATAAAGTAAAGCGTAGAAGGCCTTGAAGCTCGAAATTCAAAACAACAACACAATGTTTATGTTCGTACTATCGTGCCTCGGTCAGGATCACCCCATCCCCTACTACTTTCAATTGAAGGACAAGACGTGTTGCGGGAAGTCATTCGGCTATGGAATTTCGTGACAGCAACACGTATTACGTTATATTAGGTTCGTAACTTTTCGTAATTTATCGGTGGCGTCCCTTCGGTGGTGTCGCTTCTTTGATATTCTTTTACTTCCATTTACACCTCATTAATAGTATCATTTAATTAATACATGTGTGTTTAATGATTCAGTGAGCATTATGATAACGAAATCGTTTCGTGCTTTGCACCAATTTTTTTCAATTGTCGATTTGACTCGTACGATTACCGATAGCTTGTCTCGTACGCTTTTTTAATAGAATTTGAAGTTGATTATCGCTTTATTTTTACACATTTATCATCATTTGACGCATTTGTTCTGACTTTTGATTTCTTCTTGTGCAGGTTATTCCTTGGTTGCAAAGATAGAATGCATAGACACCATGATCATCATTGGACAATCTGATGAATTTTCGTGCAAAGTTGGTAACATTTTATTCCTTTTAAATAACATTTGGTATACAATTTATATATATTTGATATATAATTCACAATACATAATTTCGTAATTATTCGGAATACAAGGATGAAAGTAGACAAGATTATTAGTATATATTTATACTTCAATAGTATATATTTTTAAATGGATATATAATACAATAGACTATTAAATTCAAAGTTTTCGTACTTTATTATATTATACCTTGCTACAATGTATTTACTTTTTCCGAACGCCAACATGCAATACATATTCAAGTTTCATTATTTTCATACATATTAATTATTTTCATAAAATTTGTGTGACCGCGTGCAATGCGGTCGGTAGAGCCAGTGTTTGTTGCGTAATATTTTAATTCTTGTCTGAGCGAAAT